GTCGAAACGTCGCCTAGACACCCCAACTTTTACACGGGAAGACACCCGAGGACACCAAAACCTGCAAAACACAAGATTATATAAACAACATAACAGCAGCATCCAGTAGCAAAAATAACAAGGGAGCTTCACAGTTTCACCATAGTCCTACAAACCCCCTTACATGATGCTCTCCTGCAGCAGCTCTCCTCTTCCTTATAAGGCTTCTAAGGCCAAAGGGTGGGGTAGCTGGAAACAGCCTTCCCATGAAGCACTCCAGTGGCACTCTGCACATGTTGTTGTTCAGTCTGATATTTATACATCTAGCAAGTCTCCAAAGGTTGCTACTGCTTCCTTGTTGCTTCTGTGTTGCATTGTATTGCTGCCTGTCCACCATTAATTAAGGTTGCGTTAGTGCCAAGTAGAAATAAGGGACAATCAACATTTCAAATTGGTGTGTCTGGTGTTAGGCTTTGTGTCCTGAAGTCTGTTCATTTTTACTAGGACAATGGTGTGTTGCATCACTGAGTTCCACCTGTTACCCAGTTAAGAATGTTACTGTCCTTTTAACTGCAGACAATGATCTGAATGTCAAGGCATTGTTCGCCATTGTGTCACAGAACCTGATGCTATCGTCATTCATTCTTTTTGCAAAGCCTTGTTTTGACAAACACTTTTAATGGTTGTTGTCTTAAGATCTTAGTACGCAGAAGTGAGTTCAGAACAACTAACATGACTAAAAGCTTGTTTCCATTTGTCCTGCGGAGTAGCTGGAGTGAAATCGGAGACTCTTTGCTGTAGGTCCCACCTTCTCATAGTTAGTTGTGGTGATGCCAGTGATACTTGCTGTTTTGCCAACAGCATTTCAACCATATTTGACTGTCAGGATCCAGGAGACTTCTTGACAAGAAAATTACCCTTTCTGAAATCCTCTTTAATTTCATCCAGTACCTGGCAAATGTCACAGGTGTATGGTTCTCCAGCATGCATAAGTAATATGATAAAATAATAAGTAATAATAAATGTTGCATAAGTAATATGATAAAAAGAAGGGTGACATTGCTTGGAAAGAATCAAGACGTTAAGTACCTCCTTGTGCTTGTTCATATATGCCCAGCATAACAGAAAAATTAAAAAGATATTGTCTGTTATGAAAGAATGTATTGTCCTGGATCACTAGCTAGATATGGGATTAAACTGTTCACATCACCACATGCAACTATTTTAGCCTTTAATCTGTGGTGTTTTTTTAAATTTAAAAATGCAGTAAGATGACTACATACAAATTCAATACAGCAGACAATACAGCACAAAGCAATACATAGTATAACTTTTAGTCTTTAATCGTCAAGTTAAATGAAGTTCCACAACTAGAACATTACTGTCAACGTATTTTGGAATGTGTACTTGTTCACCCTCACACCTCTAGCATACCATTTGCCTAATATCACCTGTTTTGCAGAACTAATACCCAACGTACCACTTGGTTCCTTACAAGCATCAGTATCCCTGAAGACTTGCATGTGTTGTGGTTATTGTCATACATAGCCCACCCATCCAAGCTGTCAATAAATCTTGGTATTTGAGAGCAGCTCACTTATTATTAAATTTGCACTACAGTGAGAACCATATAAACTAGCCATCAAAAATAGCATTGAGCTGAAAGTTAAAGGATAATATGTGGGGGAGTTCACGTTTTAAAAAACATTTTCTGTTGCTTTCTATTAATTAGCTTTTAATTGATTTCCAGCATTATTCTCTTTGTTGACTGCTTTACTGTTTCATTCTTAGTGGAAACATGCTGCCCTTGTGCATGTTTAGCGATTTCAGGCGGTAAAGACAGAAATTCACCCTGGCATTCAGCAGAGTTGCGCAGCTGAAATGTATGACAAAACATGTCTGCTAATTTTTTTTCAAAATTCCCCTTAGAAGTCAAATATTTTGTCTGTACCCTTATAATTCATAATTTAAGGAATTGTATGTTTTTTAAGCATAACTAACACACTTCACAGTAACTAATTTCTTCTAATTCTTCATTCCCCCCCCTCCCTTTTTTCTAGACAGCTTTCAATGATGCTGATGTTAGCCCAATCTAACCCACAACTTTTTGCCTTAATTGGGACAAAATCTAACATAAATAAAGAACTGGAACGCATAGAGCAATTTTCTAAGCTACAGCAGTTAACAGCATCTGAACTGGTTAGTAGAAATAAAGGACACTGGAAAGATTGGCTTCAGAACTACAGGTGAGGCTAATGGTTATGTACCAAATATATTTCTATTTCTGTATTTTTCTATATGCTATTAATGAGTTCATGGAAGCACCTTAAGGCTTTCATATTGCAGCATTTGTTATCAGAATATATTCCAAATAAGATCTTTAAAATTGTCTTCTTGAAATGAATTGTTTGTATTGGTTGTGTAGCATACAATGCTCAAATAAGTTTTCAGGATGCACTATCAGCATTGTACTCTGGATGTCCTATCAGAGTGCCTTTTTAGACCTGTCCTCTTAAATGATTCTTCGTTGTATGTTCCTGAGTCTCAGGATTGTGACAGAAGCAGTGTGTTTGTTAGTTTGTTTAAAACTCACCCATTATGCGAAGCTTTCTGTGTCCTTTCAGAGTTCGGCTAGAAAAAGAAATGGAGCAATTTGGCAATTCTGATAACTGGAGTGCTGAGCATGTGAAAATTATGAACTCAAATAACCCAAAATACATATTGAGAAATTACATTGCTCAAAATGCTATAGAAGCAGCAGAAAATGGAGACTTCATGGAGGTAAGCAGTATTGCTAAATCAGGCATCCCCAAACTCGGCCCTCCAGATGTTTTTTGGGACTACAAAAAACATCATCATCCCATCATCCCTAGCTAACAGGACAAGTTGTCAGGGATGATGGGAGTTGTAGTCCCAAAACATCTGGAGGGCCGAGTTTGGGGATGCCTGAGCTAAACGTTGCAAAATAAATATTGAGAGGTATTCACCAGATATGGAATCCCCAAACGGGGGACAAAAATAATAAAAATACAGTTGAGGTTTGGCAGTAATAATTGTACTCCTCCTTTTCCAGGTAAGGAAAGTTTTGAGGCTCCTAGAAAAGCCATATGAAGAAGACTTGGAATGCTACAATGAGGCAACAGAGGGTCCTGAAGTAGAAGAAGTGGGGGCTGCCGCTGCTGAGTGCAGTTCAGCATCCAGGAGAAGAGTTCCCTATAGCAGTAAACCTCCACTCTGGGCTTCAGAGCTCTGTGTTACATGATCTTCCTAACTGCCTTGTTTGTATTTTCCACAAAGGGATAGTGATCTTCCCGAGTGGAGAGTGCATCAAGGTGTATAGAAGTGCTATTAAGTCTCAAACAGATGGGTCGGATGTCTTCACAGTCTCACTTGAGCCATATTCATTTTACAACTTGTGACCATCACAACTGTCCACGCACACTGCTGAAAGACAGACCAAAGTTTTATCTTTTATTCATCGCAAAGTGCAGTTATATTTTTTCCGCCCTGATCTGTGAACATCCAAGTGAAATCTGTGTTTGTGAAGACAAAAATAGCAATCCAGAGGCTGGAATTATTTTTGTCTGAAAATGAACTAATAGTACTTCCTGGCAATATATTTGTAACGTTTTTTATTATTATGCAGGGATATCTCTCAATGGGGAGTGGGTTTAAGCTCATCATTGCTTATTCTAAGCTATGTTTCATTTAATAGTTCATTTATTGTGAACCTTTGTGTTTAAATCAGGTTTTTAGAGAAATTATTTTTGGGTCGTAGGGAAAAGATGATGGTGTATATTTAAAAAAATGGAATGAAGAAGAAAACTAGTTTCAGTGTAAATGATTTACATATAGTGGCCTGATTTCAGTTAGGGCCATAACCATACTTAAGCATATGGTTCAAGACTCTATTCTGGGTCTTAATGCAATCCCACAAAAAGAGGCTCCACGCTGACAGCACCAATTGTTGGAATAGTGGGGAAACGACTCCCCTCTGCCTCCTGTAGGTGTTCAGCATTGACAGTAGAGAGCATGAGTCAACAGGTTAATTTTTGCCAAAATGTATAATGTATAAATTGCTTTGTATTTGAACAATGCCTTCGAATGATGTATGCTTTCACTCTTGCATCTCAGATAACCTATTTATTTCCTATGTAAACAACTTTGCTACCTCATGGAAAGTCTTCCGTTCTCGCGCTTTTTGCCTTTTGTGGCAATTGAGTTATATTTTAACTTTAGCTTATTTCAGCTTCAGCGAAACAGCTGCATGAAAACATGGCTGTTCTTCAGAGGTGTGTTAAAAGAGGTTTTGCTCCAATACATCCTGATGGCTGTGACTGTAGTCCCAAGGACTGTTCTTTACAGTTAGTATCCCTTTAAAATCAGTAGGAATGTACTGGAGTGTCAACGCACCTCTCACATATCGTGATCTTTCTGCCTTATAATGTAAAAGTAGACTAGCAGTTGGAAAATAAAAATACGTTGATGTGAGTTATTGACAAATGGCAGGCGCAGGAATTTTTGCAAACAACTGCTATACTTTTCTTGCTTTTAATTTAGAGTTCTGTACACACAAATGAATAGGGCTATTATTAATTGGTCTTGCTGTTAGCAGATCTTAACTGTGGCTTCTAAGGATCTTATGTAGAGTTTTAAATTTAAAAAACAGTGCTCAGCTCAGCTGTTGTAAATGGAATACCTATTGCCCACAATCAAAATTACTTACTTTTTATCCAGTTTTAGCAATAAAAACACGCCGCATGAATGTTTTTTATGATACTTTTAAGTATTGCACTTATACCTTTTGAAGGATGTTGTGGACATTTACTCATTCTGCAAATAATATCAAAAATCTGAAATTTATTACCCTGAGCTGTGTTCATTGAAAATAAATTATTTTAACCATGCTTATATTAAAAGTTTGTACCGTGTTATTTTTAGACTAAGAAATCCGAGAAATGATTAAAATGTTCACTACTCACAGTCATGATATTTCTGAAAAATCCAATGCTGAAGTTTCTGGATCTTTGTTAATTACTTATTTACTGTATTTCACCCCACTTTTCAGAGGATTGTCTCCCAAAAGAGGCTTTTTTCGTTTTTTTAGAGAGAGAAAGATAGGCACTGACAATCAGGCTCACAATGACATGCAGGGAAAAAGAGAGAAGATGGGAAGAGAGCATTTCTATAGGTGGTGAGTTATGAATGGGTGTTTATATGCAGTTGGGGTCAGGCTGATCTTCCCTTGTTGGCATTTTTGCCAGCATAGCAGTTGGCTCTTTTCTTTTCCCCAATGGAGGCCCTTTCCCCTTTGCTTCTGCAGTCCCAGATGCAATGAAATACAATTGGACATCAGCATTAAAATATCAGTACAGTGGTGCCTCGCAAGACGAAATTAATTCGTTCCGCAAGTTTTGTCGTCTTGCGATTTTTTCGTCTTGCGAAGCACAGTTTTCCATAGGAATGCATTGAAAATCAATCAATGCGTTCCTATGGAAACCGCCTTCAGACCAGGTCTGGGGACAGTCTGTCCCCCGACCTCTTCTGAAGGCTGGGGGGGTGGCTTTTCTTCCCACCCCCAGCATTTTTAAAAACCCCGGGATAGCGGGGGACTTCTCCGCTGTCCGGGGCGATCTTAAAATGCTGGCGGGCGGCAGCGAAGCCTCCGCTCCCGCCCGCCAGCATTTTAAAAAACCCCGGGACAGTGGAGGGCTTCCGAAGCCTGGCGGGGGGGCGGAGAGACCTCCTCCCACTGCCAGGCTACGGAGGAGGTCCGAGGACAGTGGGGAAGACCGCTGCGCTTCCCCGCTGTCCCGGAGATTTCCCTATGGGCTTTCGTCTTGCGAAGGAAGCCCATAGGGAAATTCGTTCTGCGAAGCGCCTCCAAAACAGAAAACCCTTTCGTCTAGCGGGTTTTCCGTCTTGCGAGGCGTTCGTCTTGCGGGGCACCACTGTAATTATTTACACATTTGTACCTTTGCCTTGCAACAAATGGTCCCGCCCCATTATTCATAAAGAGACATTGATCAGAAATGGCACATAAATAGAAACTTAGTATTTTCCAATTAGCCGTGTTTCCTTTCATTCTAGCCATATGTGGCCATAAATAAATTGTGTGTGAAGAGCAATCATTGCATTTTGGGTCTCCTTTGCACACATCTGTACCAGATCTAGGAGCTGCTTGTCTCAGAAAGAGATCTATTGTCATCTACTGGGGGAAATAACAACAGAGATTTGTGGAACTACCTGGAAGACTGTTTGGATCCAGATTTAGGCACTTAGTAGACCCATTGAAACCAATGGGATTGAAGTTAGTTGTAACCATTCAGCTCTATTAATTCCAGTACGTTTACTCTAAGCTTGACTAAGTTTGGGTCCAAGTTTAATGATTTACTTAAGGCATTTGTTTTTGTACAGATATGTTGCTAGGCTAAACTGGCAGGTCTATACAGATGCTTTGGGAGAGAGGTAGAGGTTGTAAACAATGAGATTAGCGGAAACCAGAAAAAGTACAGCCTGTGACAATTACATTAAGTGTAATTGTCACAGTCTGTACTTTTTGTGTTTACCTATAACCTCACTTTTTGTGTTTGCCTATAACCTCACTATAACCTCAATTCCTTCTCCGCTCCTCCCCCTGCTGCCCACCCAGCCAATTTATCTGCTAATTTAGGATAATGCATCTGCTGAAGTGGCTTATGCCATAATGCATTTGTTAGTCTTTAAGTTGCCGTTAGACATTCTGTTGGGTTTGTAGCAGCAAAGTAACACAGTCTTCCCCTTCTGGAAATCCTACTGGAAAGGTGATCAAGTGTGCTTGGGTGTGAACCTGAGACAAAGGTTTCACTAACAAGGTTGTTTGTGGGTTTTTTTTGGGGGGGGGGGTGTTGTTCAAAAATCTTGTTCTGCTAATGTGAATCTGGAGGGATTTTATGCATAGTGGAGAGTATTTGCTGTCTATCGTTTTTCCTGTTTAATAACCATTCTAATCTTAGCATTGGGGAGAAGGAACTTCATAGCACCATCCTGTACATACCTACTCTGAAGTAAGTCCCATTGTGTTCAGACTAGTTTACTTCCAGGTAAGTGGGAAGTGGATTACATGTTTGCAGAGAAATACATAGGATCTGGTCTCTTATTTCCTCCTCTCCCCATTTAGTTCTTGACGCAGTGTAACTCGCATTGTCTGTGCCAAATCGATGACCAGACAGGCATACACAGACACTCATCACACCAGCAAATTTATAACTGTAAAATGTTATAAGAGCAGTCATGACTGTTATTTGCCTCTGTTGTTGCTGGCTGATCTATGAGCAGTCTTACATTTCAGAGACAAAATGAGGTTAACGCTTCTGTATGATCCTAGATGTGATAGTTGCAGCATCCCTCTGATTCTTTTTATAAACATGTAATTCTGGTAATTAATGGAGATGTCCTGCCCCTCTTTATTCACTTGCCATTAATGTCCCCTAATGACTATCCTTCTGTTTCCTTGACAGAATTCTTCCTTGTGGATATAGTATTGTGAATCTGGGGTTTTTACCATAGGGCTAATTTAAATGTGATGTGGGAGTTTGTGAGCAGCATTTACCACATTTAAAATGTACCATCAGGCCCTGGACTGCCCTCTATGCTCACTGCTGAATTCACCTGAATTGGAAGGATTGTAAGAGAGCTTCCTGTTCTACATGAGCTTTGCTTGAGCAGCAAGGTCTCTGGCTTGCTCCTTAACCCCACTTCCAGGTTGATCCTCTGCCTCTGACTTCAGTCTAAGCTTGATCCTTGACTCTTGCCACCTAGTTTCCCCTACAATTATGACTTCTCCTTGGTCCTGACTGGCTTGCTGGCCTCATGGCTCCTGGTTCCTAGCTGCTGGCTCACCTTAGACCCACCTGACACTGTTGTTGTTTAGTCGTGTCCGACTCTTTGTGACCCCATGGACCAGAGCACGCCAGGCACTCCTGTCTTCCACTGCCTCCTGCAGTTTGGTCAAACTCATGCCGGTAGCTTTGAGAACACTGTCCAACCATCTCGTCCTCTGTCGTCCCCTTCTCCTTGTGCCCTCCATCTTTCCCAACATCAGGGTCTTTTCCAGGGATTCTTCTCATGAGGTGGCCAAAATATTGCAGTCTCAGCTTAAGGATCTGTTCTTCCAGTGAGCACTCAGGGCTGATTTCCTTCAGAATGGAGAGGTTTGATTTTCTTGCAGTCCATGGGACTCTCAAGAGTCTCCTCCAGCACCATAATTCAAAAGCATCAATTCTTCGGCAGTCAGCCTTCTTTATGGTCCAGATCTCACTGGACCAGCCTGGACTCTCACTGGACCAGCTCTCCATCCTGGCACTAGGAAGGCGAAATTAGAGCTCCCCCCAGTGTTGTCCCCGTCCCCAGATTAAAACTGTGTATGTTTGCCATAAGGAGCAAGACATTCAGGTACCCGTATTTTGATAACCAAGTTTCCTCCGACAACTGTCAACCCTGTTCTTAGGGAACTGCCATAGTAAATTAACCAAAAGCTACCACAGAGATATCAGCATTTTCAAAAGGGGTCCATGGCTTGGCTTTTGAAAAACAAGGGGCCTGCAGTAATTAGCTAACTGGGAACCACAAGTATGTGCTGTAGTGATTCTATGGTTTCTAAAATATAAGCTGAACTTTGCTATGGAAAGCAATAGCTATACTGTATTATTATTATTATTTATTTCAGTTACGAGAATGAACCTGTGTTTCCAGATCAAGAGCATTGCGGGGTTTTTATTAATTCTGGATTTTCAGCAAGCCGGGACAAAGGTAGTAAACAAATACATTGTCACTTTTGTTGAAGCCCAAGGGCAGGGAATTTTTTGTCCATTTGAGGGTCACATTGTTGTGGGGGACCTTCTGGGACTGGAGCCAGATGCAAAAGCAGGTAGAGCAAAGGACGTGGCTCTTAGCCAGGTAAGCAGGAGGCATTACCATGGTTCAGGGACACATTCCAGCAAGGTGGAGGCACTTGAGGAGGGTGTGGAACAGGCCTGGGGAAGGGGGTGGTCTGGGAAGAGGGGATGTGTCTTAGGGAGGGTGAGAGAGAGTGGGATAGAGAGGCCTGGAGGACCACAGCTGACCCCTGATCCAGAGATTCCCCACCCCAGGTTGAAGCAGAAAAACCAAATATTGACGCTTTACTTCTTTGACTGGGCCTCCCTTTTACTGTCTGGCTGCGATGCCTCTGGCAGTATGGAAACAGCAGAGAATGAATGAGGAAATGTGGCAGAAGGAGTTTATTCTGAATGCCAGTCTTCGCTAAAGACTGCCTCGCAAGTTACCTAACTGGAGTGGAAATAACTTCTTTTCATCTGGAAATACCCCTTTAAAAACTCAGTTTGCCGGCTGTCCTCCAGGTGAAACTGCTAGAGCAACAATCCCTAGCCTGATCCCCTCCAGCTGTTGAACTACAGCTTCCTGGCCATTGGCTGTGCTGCTGAAAATTTGAGTCCAACATCACCTGGAGGGCCACAGATTGGGGAAGGCTGAGCTGAGAGAGAGAGGAGAGCAGTCCTGTGGCAAAAAGGTGCAAGGGAGTTGCAGATTTCCACCTTTTTGCAAAATGAAAGACAGCACTGGTGTAAGGTCTGCTTATCTCAAATATAAACTTTTATACAGCAGTCGGGGGAGGTTGGGGGGGGGAGATGTTTTTGCATGAAGACACAGGAATGGTTTTTAACTTTGTACATAAGTAAAATTAGAAAATTTCGTTTTTACAACAGTAGTGTTTCCAGCGGTCTAATATAAACATAATTTGATCTCTGCAGGCACAACCACGGCGGGCAGTTCAAGGTAGGTGTTTTGTTGTTGTTGTTGTTCATATTTTAATGATCATTAACCTTATTTTCATACAATGTGGGGGCACATCCCTGTTGGATAAAGTGTGTGACTGGGGCCTTGATTCACAATAGATTAATAATAATAATAATAATAATAATAATAATAATAATAATAAATAATTTATTATTTATACCCCAGCCATCTGGCTGAGTTTCCCCAGCCACTCTGGGTGGCTTCCAATCGAGTGTTAAAAACAATACAGCATTAAATATCAAAAACTTCCCTAAACGGCTGCCTTCAGATGTCTTATAAAAGAAACTGAATGGAGAGTTATATAATTGTTTGTAGAGTTGGGAAGGGACCCCAGGGGTCATCTAGCCTAACCCCTGCAGTGCAGAGCCTCTTTATTTCCTGTAACCAGTTTTAAGAGGAAGCTAAGTGGTGAAAACACAGGAGAGGTTGGTTATTGCGAAAAACAGGGCAAGATGTGACATAGTGGGTGGCGGGATTGTTTGTTTTTTAATTAAGTGTTATATAGTGTTTTGGTGGTTTTGATGGCCTTTGCAAGCATTGGTGGCTAGAGATCTTATTCCTCGCATTGATGTACACTTCAGTCAGAAAAGCAGCTGATAGCAGAGGTAATAAGGAAGGGAAAATAGCTGGAGAATGACTTCTTATTCTTCTTTGCATGTACTGCTGCAGATGAATGGCATTTCATTAACAGCACTTAATGGAAGCTATTCCTATGTGCTGCATTACTCTGAAATTAAGTACCGCTGTTTGATCCTTCAAGGACTGGGGAGGAAACACACCCTGACACAGCCTGTGTGAAGGACAAAATATGGCCAATTCACAAAATTCCTGGCTCAGGTTTTTGCTTAAGTATCATTGGCCTTAAGAAAACAAGGTGGATCATTTGGGCCTGTGATCTTATCCGAGCTAGATACAGTGACAGCTGAAAAACTAGGAGCAAGAGGAGGCTACGAAACTGGTCTCTCAAACTTTAAACCTTATTTGGATGTTCATTGGAAAACCCATGGAGGAAGAATTGGGCCCACACATGCTATCTCAGCCTCCAGTGTCTCCATCTTTGCCAGCTTCATCCCCAAACTTTGCATCTTTAACAGGAAGGTCTGGCAGGAGGTTCTGCACACATTGGCTGAATATATTTCTAACTGAGAAACCTACACTATTGGGGAAGAGTCTGTGGAAGTTCAGTTGAATGCATGAATTTCCATGTTTCTGAAACAAATCATGCTTGGCTCATAATAACCCATATGCATACCAGAATAGGTACTTATATAATTGGATGCAGTTAGTAATTTTTGTCATTTGCTTCACCCCACTTCCCTCAAGCATAGCTAGGGATGAGGAAGAATTTATCTTCAGTTCACATATAAAGGTGAACCACAATTTCTAAAACAACAGAGGAACTGAAACACGTCCAGCCTTTGAAAATTGCACTCTATGAATTTTGCAGTGCCTAGTAATTTGTGCAAAAATGCATACGCTAAGGTTCGGTGTACATAAAAGTATGTATTAGCAAAATAGCATGCAATTATAGGTTATATTTGGAGAAATTGATTGACTAAAATGTATGTATTAGGCAAAACAGCATATCAGTGTGTATACTGGGAGAAATTAACACTTAAACGCTGATGCATTTTCATAAGGATTTTTTAAAAAGAAATTTTGTTAGTTGATATAAAAATGTAGAGAACTGAACTCAAGATGGGAAGAAACCCAGAGAAACTGAAACTGACAGATTTACACATCCCTAACCCACTTCTCTTGACTCTCATCAGGTACCACTGAGCTTTGCCCTTATTCCATCCGGTTCCGCCTTATTACCAACCGGCTTCTGCCCTTAATTCCAGGGCTCCATTTTGCTGTTCACACATTCTGAGCCGCAGGAGTCTCATCAACCTTACTCATTCTTTCCATTACAGGACCTGATTGCACAGCAATATTTGCTGCCAATGCATCTCTCCCCAGCGGAGTTTACAGGATCAAACCAAAGCATTATCATAAGTCTTTTGAGGTAAGGTTTGGTTCTACAATTACATTCTGAGCCGCAGGTTCCATTTATGATGAAGTGTTATTGAGAGCACCCGTTTTTACATACGCCTTGTGTTCTGAACACCTGCATGATCTGGAGGTCTGGGCCTGTACAGTGGTACCTCGCAAGACGAATGCCTCGCAAGACAAAAAACTCGCTAGACAAAAGGGTTTTTGGTTTTTTGAGCTGCTTCGCAAGACGATTTTCCCTATGGGCTTGCTTCGCAAGGCGGAAACGTCTTGCAAGTTTGTTTCCTTTTTCTTAACACTGTTAATACAGTTGCGACTTGACTTCGAGGAGCAACTCATAGCACGCGGTGTGGTAGCCTTTTTTGAGGTTTTTAAAGACTTTGGTGATTTTTGAAGCTTTTCCAAAACTTTCCCGACACTGTGCTTCGCAAGACGAAAAAAAACGCAAGACGACAAAACTCGCGGAACGAATTAATTTCGTCTTGTGAGGCACCACTGTATACTGATGCACACAGCTCTACCTCTTACTTCCATAATCTGATCCCAGAGAGGCATTGGAAACTTGAACTAATGTCCAGAATTGGGCTTGGCAGGGAGGAAGGAGAACTTTAATTCAGTCAATTGAGAGAGCTGGCAGGTGATGTACAACCTGCCTCCAAACTTCCTCTGAAAGGTCAAGTGTGCAGTTTAGGTGTACATCTGGAACCACCATTGTCCTTGAATATTCAAGTTGTGTTTGTGGCCATATTTTATAAATTTCATCTGGTTTGCCAGGTCTGGCCATACCTGGTGAAGGCAATTCTGACTCGTACCCTAATTGCATCCAAGTTGGTTACAATGTTCTTTCCATAGGGGTGTCTTTAAAGACATTTTGGAAACTCCAGTTGGTTCAAAATAGTCATAAGATTGTTGGTTAGTACAGCATGGCTGAATCATATTACACTGACCCAACACCAGGTTCACTGGTTACCTATTGGTTTCTGGCTTCAGATTAAAGTGCTGAAACTAACCTGAAAAGTCCTAAACAGCCTCAGGTTACCTTAAGGCCTGCCTTTGTGCATACAGGTGAGCCCTAGACTGTTGTCTCTGGTCAGACTTTGCAGGAGTTTGGATGGGCGAGTGCCAGGATGGTGGTGCCACAGCTCACACCTAAGGAAAGCCATTTGGCTCCTTTTGCCCACTTTTGATAGTCAATTGTGTTTAGGATCCTATAATTCAGATTGGTTACCGACCAACGTAAATTTCTAGGTATTCTGTGAAAAGAGATACGATGGTGGATGGACTATTATCCAGCGACGCAATGGACAAGGGGTGTATGGTGGACCGGAGGACTTTCGGAGGTGGATGTCTGAATACGAAAAAGGATTTGGCCATGTTGATTGTAAGTAAATTATTCCCCTCAACTAAAATCTTTTGATCTGTGGACTTACCTTTAGACGTCACAATATGTGCACAAATGGATCTTATTGATTGATTTCAACAACCAACCTACATGTGCAGAATTTCTCAAAGGTCTCAGGCAGAGGTCTTTTGCCCCGTCCCATTTTGCCACCTGATTAGTTTCAAGAGGTGGCAAGGATTGAACCTGGGACCTTCCACATTCAAAAGCCTCTGCTATGATCCTTTCCCATGTACGCACAAGTAGAAAATAAATGTAAAGGTACCCCTGACCATTAGGTCCAGTCACGGACGACTCTGGGGTTGTAGCACTCATCTCGCTTTACAGGCTGAGCGAGCTGGCGTTTATCCACAGACAGTTTTTCCGGTCATGTGGCCAGCATGACTAAGCCGCTTCTGGCAAACCAGAGCAGCACACAGAAATGCCATTTACCTTCCTACCAGAGCGGTACCTATTTATCTACTTGCACTTTTATGTGCTTTCGAACTGCTGGGTTGGCAGGAGCTGGGACTGAACAATGGGAGCTCACCCCGTTGCGGGGATTTGAACTGCCGACCTTCCAATAGAAAAGCTCTAGGCTCTGTGGTTTAGACCACTGTGCCACCCGTGTCCCTAAGTAGAAAGTAGGAAGCTAGAAACTGTTGTGGCTCTCAAAACTGCAGCCATTTATTTCCTTGCATTCAAGATGATGTATAGTTGGCGATGGATACATGAAAATGCAATTTTATATTTTCCAGTTGAACATTGGCTAGGGCTTGTCTACATTCATGCTCTGACCCACCAGACAGACAAAAAATGTGAGCTCCGAGTGGACATGAGAAACTGCAAAGGGAAGAAAGGCTATGCTGTATACAAGACCTTCGAAATTGGCAACGAAGATGAAAAATACCGCCTTTCTTTGGGAAAATACAGAGGGAATGTGGGTAAGAGATTCAGTGATGTGTGCAACAACTCCCATGTTTACCAGTTTAGCATCTCTCAAAATCAGGTCCAGAACCAAGTAAGCTGGAAAACAAAGGCATTATTGGTGGGTTGCACCCCTGGAATAAAATTCTGATTTTCCTGAAGCAGCTTCTCAGGCAGGATTAACCTTACAGAGCCATTGTAGCCACTTAGTCACACTGGCCTGGCAGCAGTGCATTCATGGTTTTAAATAAATACAGCTGCCTTTAGATAGGTGTGTAGTGGCTGGATATAAGCATAATTTTAGCAATACGTCAAAAGAAGTATCAGTGCATTTTGCGTGTACATGTAACTCATATATGGTCCTTACCCAACTGCACTTTCAAAATCGATTTTGATCCAGGGAATACCTCTTCTAATGGGAGAGGTAATTTTTGCTGATTCCCCCTCCCCCTAACACCCCCTAGAAAAACAGCTTACATGATCTGGGGAACCCCCCTCCCCAGGACACAGTGGAAAATGGAGAGGGTCTGCAGGGTAAAAAGGGATATCCCTCTGAAAATCATCTTCTGGATCAAAATACTTCAATGAGTCCAATGGCCCCAGTTGGGTTCTATCTGTTCGAAGTTTTTATATTTGGTAAAAGTAAGAATTACAGTGGTACCTTGGGTTACATACGCTTCAGGTTACAGACTCTGCTAACCCAGAAATAGTACCTCGGGTTAAGAACTTTGCTTCAAGATGAGAACAGAAATCGTGCTCCAGCGGCAGCAGGAGGCCCCATTAGCTAAAATGGTGCTTCAGGTTAAGAACAGTTTCAGGTTAAGAACGGACCTCCGGAATGAATTAAGTACTTAACCCGAGGTACCACTGTATACGATTATTTTAAAGGGGGGAGAACAAAGAATGTGGGTATACAGTATCGTGAAGGTGACTGTTCCAGTTGCTTCCATTTAGATGCTACACAGGTTCTGGCAGTTGATAAGGGACATCTTACCACTTCTACGCCTTCAGTTCATGTGTGAGAAGCTTTTGGCCCTTTAATGTTGCTTCCCTACATCTCTCATCAACCTTTAATAACCATGCTTGCTTGACCTAATGAGCCTTGTAGTTCAGTAACTTCTGGAGGACTGAAGGTTCCCCACACTTCCTTCAGCCCATATTCTTCTTGTTGTTTTTCTTCAGATAACCAAACAATACAAATTTAGGGTTGCGTTGAAGCAAATACCTGGTAATTTGATTCACACTATATTTTGCAAGGGCATTTTAGTTACCACGAGGCAGTTTCAGAGCCAAGTGGAGAATGGCAGCTGCTCTAGACTGACACCTCCTAATCGCAACATGGTTAAGATTGTAAAAAGGTGTGTTAAATCACCAAGGAGTTCAATACAATTTGTAAAAGCTTCAAGAACAGCCTGCTGTTCTTTTAAAAATGTGTGTTGACACCCCCAGGGTTATGGCAGTTAGAATTATTTGATTTTACCAAAAATATAAAAGCATAAATACTGTGGACAATGCTTGAAGAAACACAAATTATACCAGTAAGCCAATAAGATTTTGCCTCTCTTTGCCCCAAATGCCCTGATGCAGGCAATTAATGAGACTAAAATTTAGGGTTGTTTTTTTCTTGGTTTAGGAGATGCATTCAGAGGGCTTGAACCCTCTGAGAATCAAGATGGCAATTTCTTCAGTGCGGTTGATAGTGACAATGACGACTGTGGCCCATGTTTTGTGGGCGATGAGGCATTCGACAGCTGCGCTGGCGAGCTCTACGGTTCTGGGTGGTGGTTCAGTAACTGCGGCATGGCGGATCTCAACGGGATGTGGCATCCCAAAGACAGCTGTAGAGGTTGGGTATCTGGTGTGTACTGGAAAACATGGAGTAATATTGATTCACTGCTATTTAGTGAACTCAAGATAAAATGTGCTTAGCTGTAACAATGTCAGACTCTCCAGCCTGAGATGGCTTGCGAGTTTGTTTCCCTTTCTGCAGCAATTTTAGTACTAAACCATCCCTGTGTTACTATGAATGTCAGCCGCTTAGTAGCAAATCGCTGAGTATGCAACATATAATCTAGCAAGTCTGACTGATCTAAGAAATGAAGTTTCTGCTAATTGATTGTTGAAGTCTTTCTGGTTTTTCGGTAGACATAGTCCCCCTTCCCCTCCCTTTTTGCCAAAACCATTTCAGTAATAAGGAACATATATTTTAGTGCAGTCATAATCCTAGACGTACTTTTACTGTCCCCTGTAGAACAAATTAGATAGGAACCCACCCATATTTCCATCAAACACCAATGCAAAGAGAGAGGATGAAAAAGGGGGAAGTAAAATTAAAGACCTTGCTTAGTAACAGGCAAGACAGTTGAGATGTGTCATCTGTGCCTCAGCAGTGCAACAGCTCCCCACCAGTTAATTTCCCTCTTTGATTATTCCCCAAATAGTTGAACAAAATTTCAAAGTTTATGGAATTTCCCCTCCTGGCAAAAACCAGCCGTTTTGTGTGCTGCTTGAACACCTCGCTCCCCCACCATTTTCTTCTTGGGCTAAAGAATTGCAGGCTTCTTTGCTGCTAGGACTGCACACACAAACCAAGCTAGTTTTTTATTTTATTTTTTTTAGTGGGTAGGGGTGTTTGATATCTGCTCAGCTTTGTATGCTTCCCAGCTGAAGGGAGGCCGCAAAATCCTCACCTACTGTCCTAGATAGAATAAAAGTGTGTTGTTACCAAAGCTAAGAGAATTTAGAATTTGGGTTTTACAACTAAATGGGCTGGAGGAATTTAGGAGACAATGCCATTAACTCTGATTGCTGTTGTCAGTGCAATGATTAGTGCAATCCATTAAACCATGAATTGGTTTATGCAATGCAATTTATATCACATTCCTTTGTTGCTTTATTTCCTTCAATTTTCAGAATATGCATTTTGCTTTTCAGATTTCATAAGGCCGTTAAGCTTTGTACACCAATAAACTGTTTGATTCATTCCAGTTATAACCTTGAGTCTGTGGTCATCGCTAGTTGTGCTTTAACTTCCTGTTCCACGGGGTTGCTGCTCTTATTCTCTGCTTCCTGAGCATGATGTTAGTAATACACACTGCTGACGACCAAGTGGTATGTTTCTGCTTTGCTTTTTATTTCTTACACATTTACATGAGAAGATTCCACAATGCTACTAGGAAAAATATACACATTAACAAATTTACACTAATGCACATATTGCTGTATCGGCACTTGGCAGCATGCTTTGCAGCACAGAGGAGAATAAAAACCTCTACCATGCTAAGCAGGGCGGAATGACATTATCTTCCTAGTTATGATGATATTTTCCATGGATCCCGTTCTATCCTTCAATTGTCTTTGATAAACATGCTTTTCTTTACAGAAGCGTCTTGGCACTGGCAGCTTTCAATGTGCCAGTTACTGAAAACACGTTGCTGAGTCTGTGTTCTGTCACTAGTTTGCGATGCATTTTAAGAAAGCTCAGTTATCTTTGTAGTAGTTATTAAAGTTGATTCGCAACAGGAAATCTTCCAGGTGAGGCTGGTACCCCCTGTTTACAAGCTTAGTTACTACTGTAAGAAGAGAAAATAAAACACTTGTTTAATATGGCGAGAGATATACAGATCGGTCAGCCTCAAATCTCTATCCCTCTGATATTCCTCTCAACAGTGTGCACAAGCTCAATGAGGTACGCAAACTGCTACCCTCTTTTATTTATCCTAGCAGAGGTTTCATTTCAGTTGAGCCTTTTTTTTACAGGTTCCAGCCAAGAACACTTTAGGCATCTGCTCTCTCTTTTATCGTAAATATTATTTCGCTTGCCCATGCTAACAAACTCTATTAAGCACAGCGCTCTACAGATTTCGCTTACAACTGCTGCAAGGTTTGTTGAGCAAACATACGGTATTTTTCGCTCTATAGGACGCACTTTTTCCCCTTCAAAAATGAAGGGGAAATGTGTGTGCGTCTTATGGAGCGAAGACGCCATAGCCCTGCGACCCTCTCCCGGCTGGAGAGGTGACGTGCGCCTATGGCAGGAGCCTCCGTAGCCGAGCGTCACCTCTCCAGCCGGGAGAGCGTGCGCGGGGCTAAAGAAGCCCCCCGCGACCCTCTCCCGGCTGGAGAGGTGACGCGCGCCTATGGCAGGAGCCTCTCTGCTGCGCCTTTCCACTGCTCCCTGACCTGCTCTTTGGGGCTGGTGGTGGGCTTCCCCCCGCCAGCCCCAAAGAACAGGTCGAAAGGAACCTGAAGCCTGGCGAGCGAGAGGGGTCGGTGCGCACCGACCCCTCTCGCTCTCCAGGCTTCCAAGGTAGCCGCCCAAGGTAGCAGGCTTCTAAAACGGCACCTTGTTTTAGAGCGGGAAAACAAGAGGGGGAAAATTCTCCCACTCTCTGCGCAGCGCCTCCTGCCGCTTCACTGAAGGGGCGCTGGGCAGAGAGCGGAAGAATTTTTTTCCCTTGTTCTCCCCCCTCTAAAACAAGGTGCGTCCTATTGTCCGGTGCGAAAAATACGGTGCATAGGACTGAAAGCAGAACACATCCTCTACATGCCAACAGGCCAGGGTTCAATCTCTGGCATCCAGGAAGCTAGCGATGTAAAGAGCTGTGTCTGCAATTCTGGATAGTACTGCCAGCCAGAGGAGACAAACACTGGGCAAGACGGATAAGTAGCCTGACCCCAATGTAAGGTAACCTATGTTATCTTCTATAGGTGCAGCTCTTCCTGTTGAAGATCATGCAAGCTTTACACAATGGCCTGGTTCAGACATGACACTGATCCTGCTAGCCAGAGCTGACAGGAATTGCAGTCAAACAACACCTGAAGCATATTGGGTTGGGGAGGGCTGATTTAAAATAATGGGAACACAGTCACAACTAGGACTGGGCGTGAAATATCACCAGTTAACCATCACAATATAGTTGGGGAAACTGTGCCCCTCCGCCAGAAGTTGCTAGACTACAACTTCCATCATCCCTTACCATTGGCCATGCTATCAGAGGCTGATGGGGAGTTTGGGGACAGCCCCCAGGTTCCCATCCTTGCAACAACAGAAGTCTTACCGTTGAATAAGAAATGGGAGTAGTACTTGAACGTGTTATAAGACTGCTGCATTAAGCCAAAGTTGGGATGAACAGCCATTTGTTTGCTGGTATCGAAACTCCACGACTGAGAGATTAACTGGCTACGGAACTTTAAAATGAGGCTGAAGATGCTGTGAATAATGTTCATTACAGGGGCTGCCTTTTCAGTCAACAATCCTCTGTCAAAAGAAAAAAGATGGTTTTGATATTAAGTTAACAAGCAACAATACTTTTCATCTGCAGCAATGTTTAGGAGCATCTTAAAGAACATGCCTGCTGAGGTTTGATTGCAGATGCAATTTTTGAATTGTTTCGGATAGGAAGACAACATGCCAGTTATATAGTGAATTTTGTCCTTTGTATCTTCTTACCTTTCAGTACTAGGATATAGTTATCCTAAATAACATTTTGGTGGACTAGATGCAGCCAGGTACTATATAGCATTTACTAAGGCTTAGCTTGTTTCAGATTGCTACTGTAAGTCAGAGATGCATTTGCCCAGGGGGTGGGCCTGGCCTATATATCGCCTACGACCGGTATTAGGGGCAGATTGCGATGACAGCTTCACTCAGTAGTATATCGCTGGTGAAACTGCCGCCTCCTGAGTCCCTCTGCTACCAGCGCCCAGTGCCTTGAGGGGAAAACAAGCGGCAGCTGGGACTCATAAGTGGAGGACGTTTCCCCAGCGATATACTGTTGAGTGAAACTGCAATCGCAGTCTGCCCTGGTACCGCTGCAGAGGGAGAAACAAGCTGCGATACAGCTTGTTCTTCCCTCTGCTTCAACAAACCCCCTGTCACTCTGGCTCGCAGTTATCACCCAGCCCTGCTAGTGGGGGGTGTGGCATTCCGCCCATACACCCTCCATAAATGATCCATGCAGACCAGCTGGGGTGGAATCTTATCACCCTCTCCTCAAACTATCAGTCGATAATTGGGGAGGGACAATATGCATCCATGCCAAGGGGCTGGGCTTAGAGGTTTAGGCCTTTCTGCTCTCTTCTGTGCTATAATTTCCCTGCTCTGTGCTATAATTTCCCTGCTTTGGCCCCCCTGAGGACAGGCACCGCTTCCAGAGACATTTCTGTCTGCATCTTCCTGCTCCTTCCCACTTCACTTTTCCCTTCCTCGGTCCATAAGCTGGGTGAGGGGAGAGGCACTGTGCAGTCTGGGAGAGAAATGGTCTGGTTCTCTTTCTAATATGTTGAAAGCAAAGTGCAACTCTCCTTAGGCGTTGCAAATATGGGCACTTGGACAAGGGGCTAAGTGGTGAGGCCTGCTAGTTCCTCCCGCTGTCCACGTCACAATGGCAGCAGAACTGGTGGCAGAAGCCTACGTAAAGAAAAGACATGTCCACCCAACTTTCTAGTTACATGAGAATTGTCCATCTCTACATGCAGCCAAGGGAAGGCAAATGTGCAACGCTTTGTTAAGAAATCTTCTTACCGGAAGATGGCTTTGTTGAGGTAGTCAGCATGCGTTCTGTAGATTTCCTCCAAGTTCCCCACAGAAGACAGTTTATTTCCAAATTCACACCACGTCACATGCAGGATTTGGTTGGCAATGTAGCCTTGAATAACTTTCACAAAGTGCTGCATTTCGTGCTTATAAAGCTGGAGCTGTCGAAACTGAACTGAGTTGGATGCATGCTTCACCAGGGCTGAAAAACCAAAACGACAAGGATGGCTCACAGCGCCGGAAAAGGGACCGCCACTCTTGGCCCCCATGCCAAAGCAGAAGCAGCCAAGGTGCAAAGCGGGCACAGTCAGTTTTTACTAACTAATTTTGTGAAGAGCCACAGAAATATGTTGGGATCACAGTAGCAGGTGGCCTATGGGGGCAGTCAGTAAAAAAACAATGTTTTAAGTTACTTTTTTGGGAGGGACTCTAAACTGTTCTTAAATAGAAAAAATCTCTGAGGCGTCTTGCAAGGGCACAAAACACTTAGCATGGCATCACAGTAGGGGACCCACAGGAGCTGTCAGATTTTTTAGCGTGGGGGTCATAGTATGTAGCCCACAGATTCACCATCCTGGTTTAATAAGACTAGGACAGAGGTTTTCAATCATTTCTGAGTCCACGGCTCCCTTGACCAATTACATTCTTTCTGTGGCAACCCTGTGGGGCTCAGGAGCCCAGTTACGTCACCCTTGCCTGCAGGCCGGCTGCCTCTCACACTTTTTTGAACACCCTCCCTTGTGGAGTGTTCCCTCTGTCTCCTCGGGAGTCCTCTGGGCAGCTGCAGCCCCAGGTTTCTGAGTCCCCCTCCCCCCCACCACAAAGGGCCTGGGAAGGACCCCTTGGCCAGCCCCAGAAGTAATATATGCCTGGCGAGCTCGTAGCCAGGGCCACTGCAACAAACAGCTGTGGAAACCTTTGGGAGGCAGAGATGCGAGGAGGGACAGAGGCTAGTGTTGCCCGCAGCACCCCTGACTATCATTCAAGGCACCCCAGGGTGCCACAGCACACTGGTTGAAAACCACTGTACTAGGAGACCAGATTAGAAATCAGATAGATCTTCCTTGAAACAGGCTTTCATAAACTCGCCCTCAATCAATATATCCATTTGTCTTTTTGTGCTTGCTTATGTTTTTCCTCTTTACTATTTCAAATATGGTATTGTACAATACCTACAATGTACTAGGTGAAGCAGGAGTTATTTTTTCTTGCTATTGCATTAATAGCTCACAGAACAAACTAGAATACCACCCTTGGAAGACATTTTGCCTTTTTATTCCATTTGGATGAGAATCCAAAACCTCTTCTGTTGTGTCAAAGCAAACCGCTTTCACCTTCAGTTATATGGGTTTGCTGTTGAATAATCAAACTCTCATGGAATATACTGTATTTACTCAAGTCTAACGCACCATCGAATCTAACGTGCACCTCAATTTTCAGAGTCTTGAAGCCAAATAAAGTATTTGCTGGCAAGTGTGAATGTGCCATTGAATCTAATGCACACCTCAATTTTCACAATGTAATTGGGCCAAAAAAGGTGAGCATTAGATTCGAGTAAATACGGTAGAAATAGGAAACACAGTGACTTTAGATTTAACTCACTTATCTGAATCTTCTGAACAGGTTAGCTTTCAGGCTAAATAAAAGCAGTCAGATTTTATCTTACCAGTTCGCTTTAAGTGGAACCAGACATCCTTAAGAGTCCACACCATATGCTTCAATTGCAGCAGGAAAGAGAAAATCTTGTTGTATTTATTCATGCAGTTCTCAGTAATGACAATGTTCATGGGCCAGTCAACCTATAAAAAAACAAAAAAACCTATTATGACTGCATGTCTCCCAAGGCATCAGAATATTCCGCTGCCTGTTTAAGATGAGGATTACGTCACAGTTAGCAGAACAGAATGCATTTCTAAGAAGCATCAGAGAACAAGCAGGATCAATTAACTGCAATGCATGTAGGGGAATCTTAAAATCTGGCTCACTTCTCAACTCTTGTGTGTCTTCTCACCTTATAGCGTAGTTCTAAGCAGTTTAGGGCATCAGGTGCATTGGGCTTGAACATCTCTGGAAGGTACTTCAGTGCAAATGAGAGATTGGAAGCCAAGTGAGTGTCCCCATGGAGACTATATTGCAGAGCCTTATTTAAAATGGAATTGAGGACCAGTGGGTTCAAAAGTTCGCCAGGTGTCTGTCCTGATCCAAGCTGAAATTAGAACACACATTAGATACTGAGAATTTGTTTGTCAGAATAACCTTTCCAAAGTAGATAATAAGATTTTTTTTAATGTTAATACAAACACAGTTCAAGCCAGAAAGTCCCTTATATTTAAAACTTCCAAGAGAGGTTGTTCAGGTTGTGATCATTGAAAGTACTGCCAAATGCTACACAATCCCTATATTTAGTAGGACATACACATGTAATATGATTTCCTCACATGCCGGCAACTGGATATATAGTCAAGAATCAGGCGTTTAAGGAAAAGCCTATGCAAATACCTTTTCAAAAAGTAGATCGCTGAGTGACTGAGCAAACTCTCCATCTTCCATCAACAAAAAATGCCTTAGTGCTCCAAAATGCTTCTCAATATTTAGTTCCACAAAATAGTAGTCAACAATGGCTTTGTTCACAAGTGAAACACTAGGAACAAATGAAAACAAACACCAGTTACTTTTTTTAAAAAAAAAAGCAAATAAAAAGGTAAAACTGCATTTTAGCTTCATGGATAGGGTAAATTAAAAATGGCCAACGGTTTGATCCTCTACCCACAATCAAATTATAGGCTCCCTCCAAGTAATCTACTTCTATTGGGCCGGTACCTTTTGGCAGTCACTTGCAAAAAAACACAGGATGCAGCAAGGATGTCAAGAAAACGCCCTTTGAAAAAAATCCCAGTTGCCCATTCTCACCTCTGTTCATTACACTTGCAAGTAATTCTTTCTGCACTGTTCAGAACCGAAGCTTTACGGTTTCTCATTCTAGAGCAGAACACCAAACCTTCACTACCAGGCCCCGTTCAATAGTTCACTGGTGGTAGGTAGTGTTTGCACTGTGCATGGAGAGGAAGTGTGCAGAACCAAGCAGAGGCAGCGCAACCTGCGTTGCCGTCAAGGCTCTGGAATGGGCAAGAGAAGTTTAAACCTCTACCACCTAGCGCTTTGATGCAGATGGAAATTGCTCCCTTCCCTGCTCCATCAAGTGAATGATCTGCATCCCCATTAAGGCGCAAGGCTAGGCTAGGCAGAGAAGTTCAGACCTTTTTGCCCAGTGTCCTGAAGGGCATGGAAATTACGATGAGGAAGAAATGGAGCACAAGACTCCCTTTTCCAGTCCAGCACCTTATATTCAGACTGCTCTGTCCCTTCTTGGCTCTGCATGCTTTTCACCACACTCTCTGAAATCTGACTTTAATTTCCACTTTTTTTTTTAATGGGACTAATCCATACTGAGCTCTCCCACTTGAAGAGCTATCAGTTTCAATGAAGGAAGCAAATCTCTATTCAGGTTCTTTGTGTGTATGACCCTGATTCTCCACTGAAAGAAAAAGGAATATACATGGGGATCTTCATAACGGGTGAATGGCAGCAATGGGTTTGTAGTTTTTACTGTATCTGTGTGTGTATGTGGAGTTTTGGTTAGCCCTAGAAGGTTGGTGAAGGGTCCATGAAGACCTCAGGTTGAAAAACATTCCCCCCCCCCCACGTTCTGAAGTGAATGGACACTGGATAAGAACTCCAAGGTACATCCAGCCTAAAAAAGAGAAGACTGCAAAAGAAATATGATTTGCAGTTTAAAGATCCGCTAAAGAAAGCCGTCAAGTAATAGATATCTGAACTATATACTGCTGAATCAGTTCACATTTCTTGTTGCAACAGTCACTGAATTGCTTACCTTACTGACCAAATAAAAGGAAAGAAGGTTAATGTCCATATCTGTGTGTTTATGACCAGCAATACAAGCTATATTATTACTTCAATGTTGACCGATCACTTCTAAATTTTACTTACTGAGAAACCAAAGGGGCAGTGATTGACCGTTTCATCAGTACTGGGAGTGATAAGAGCTCGCTCAGTTGTACAGCTGTTTCGTCTGTTGCTGATTGTGCTGATGGATCCACAGGGAAGGTGTAGGATCTTGGTATCACATGATGCAGAAGATGGGAAACTGGAAGTTCTGCTGTGTTAGAGCATAGGTAAAAACAAACAATGATTACTGTTTCTAAAGCACTTTCAAAACAAAACACTATACAGAAAATAAAAATGAGAGGCAACCATTTCGGCCAGTGAGCCCATTTCAGATTTTAAGGAAATGTGGTGGGTGGCAGTCACAGAGGGGGACACATGGCAAAACACAAAAATAGAGAGTGTGTGGTCACGGCTGCTCCACGTTTATCCAAGATAACCTCATGCTTGGAAGTCACCCATGTCCTGCTGGTCCTGATTGTGGAGATTGAACAATACTGATCTCCCTGACACACAATGCTGTTGCTGTTTAATAACAGGAAGCATTCCTTCCTCCAGTGCAATATGTGGTGGCCACACTTTCTCTTGTACGCAGCACACCCTCACTTCACATATGCACAGCGACATATACATGCCTTCCTCTCTCACCACACAGGACCACACGTACATCTCCCCTTCCCCCCCCCCCCACTCTGCCCAAATATATCTGTCTCAATCACACACACCATACACATTCAGAAGAGCCTCTCAATTGGCGAAGGAAGTGCCTGCCATTAAAAAAAATCCAAAACAGGGTGAACAAAAATATATTTAAATGATGCGATGTTCCAAAAGAAAAGTGAGAGTCACGTTCTAATATCTGGAGGCAGGGCATTTCAGAGGTAATTAATAATGAGGAAAGCTTACAAGTGAATGCAATTTAGAGTTTAACCAAATGAGACCTACAGAATCCTGCACAAACTTGTGCCGCAACACTGCTGCAGTCTGGGGCTACTTATCTGGACCAGTGAGAATCCGCGAAGGGCTGACGCAATCTCTATGTGCCTTAATGATACAAAGTGTGCAAAGTCAGCATGATGGCACAATAAAAAACCTTTCTGTTTAGAAGAACTGGTATAGGGCAGTATATAAATTCAATTAATAAATAATGATGATGATGATTATGTTACCCATACCATGTGTGAGCAGCTTTTTTCTGAGTGCCTTGGATAAAGTTGAAATGTCCCCACAGCACAGGTGGGGGCCTGCTGTGTGGATCCCCATCATGGAATTGACATCCTCAAGAGTCCCCAACCTACATGGCTGGATCATTTAAATGTGACCCAAGTTGATTGCGGGAAAAAGACTCACCAGAAACATTTTTAGTGAATGACGCTCTAGGACTACAAAATTCTACAAGCACTACTCTCCTTGAGGGATAACAGCATATCAAGTGGTTCCATTCTCTTAATGCACCTCATGTTAGGAGTACTCACACATCAAATCGTAGCTGTCCTGGTATTTTTCAAGGCAATATTGATCAGATAAGGCTTTCACATAATCTTCCTCTTTCTTCCACTTGGCAATAGCGGTGCTTACGCCTTCTGAACTTTCAGATGTGCTGACTTCAGAGAGAGAAATCTGCTGAGTCATAAGAACCAATTCGGTTGATTTTTCAGGTTCCTCTACCTGATGAAAAAAAATGGAATGGACATTGGAGAGAAGGAGGCTCATTTTTGATCCAGAAGGCTTTGCACTCTTGCTTAAGCACACTTATCATTGCATCTTGGGTTTTCCTGAACCTGCAAGATTCTTGTCATTTAAGCAGGCCTCTTTAGCGTTGTTGCTAGTAATAGCGTTGCTTGCAATCACATATGTTAAAGGATATATGAGAAAATAGGCTAGAGTTATCCTCATCTTAAGCTTAATTTTTTCTCTCTGCCCTTTTCACTTTGATTTTAGCTAAGTGATCTGTCAAGTCGGTATCAGGATTTTTGCAAATTCCTAAAGTCAGAGGGCCCTGGGAGAACAAAGCAGGGTTCAGATAAGGAATTCAGAGGGCACTTAGCTAATCAGCGAGTAAAGACAGTAATACTTTCTGGTAATATTTTCTGTTCCGCTCCTCCACATGCAGCTGCTGGGTGACCTTGGGCCAGTCACACTTCTTTGAAGTCTCTCAGCCCCACTCACCTCACAGAGTGTTTGTTGTGGGGGAGGAAGGGAAAGGAGAATGTTAGCCGCTTTGAGACTCCTTAAAGGGAGTGAAAGGCGGGATATCAAATCCAAACTCTTCTTCTTCTTCTTTAAGATTTAAATGAGTGAAGATAGGGAATAACATTGGGGAGAATTAAAATAATTCGAAGGAACATCGTGCCCACTATTTCAGTAATTTTACTTGAGTGTCACAATGAGATTCATCTACTTAAGATTAGGGGGCTAGTAATTTGAAACTTAAGTTGCTGTTTCCTCACCTGTACATCCTGAGAAGGCGCAGTGGAGAGATCTTTGGCATCATCCATTATGATTGCTATATTTACCAAAAAAAGAGGGGACTTATTACTGGAGGGAACTGAAAAACATGACAAATATTGTCTAGCCTTAATGAATATAAAAGCAGTGTAAAATGTACAGAGCCTCACAAGAAACACAAGCATTTTCAAATACATGATTTAGTCTCCTGCTCATGTTACCCAGCGCCAATATAGTAATAATAAGAAACAATCAGGCTTTTCTTCTGTTTCATAATAGAATTTTGTCTGTTAATGAGGATCTAGGTTTCCTTTCTAGAGAAAGCAGTATTTAGGAAACATGCACAGTTAATTCATTTCTGTTTTAAGTGCCCATTAAAATATAGTTAAAATAAAGTTTTTATTCAGTACAGTCGTACCTTGGTTGTCAAATGCTTTGCAACTCAAACATTTTGGCTCCCAAACGCCGTAATCCCGGAAGTGAGTGTTCTGGTTTGCAAACGTTCTTTGGAACCCAAACGTCCGACACAGCTTCCGATAGAGTACAGGAAGCTCCTGCAGCCAATCGGAAGCTGCACCTTGGTTTTCAAACATTTTCGGATATCAAACAAACTTCAGGAATGGATTCCGTTTGAAAACCAAGGTAGGCCTGTATAACCTGACCACAAACCCACTGAGGTACCTGCCCAGATGTAAGCCCACTGACTTCCACTGGAGACAACGGATCCTAACTGGTTCATCTCGGCCTGAATAGACTTCTATTTTAGGGCTCTTAATAATGGAGGGGAGGGGGAAAGTCTACCACGTGATTTGTTCACTGATTGCCACTCACCCCCCTGTTCTTCTAGGCTTCTTTGTGGCTTTTCATCCACGTAATCGCTCAGCAAACAACCAGAAGGCATCGACTCTTGTCCTATATCATGCTCTTTGATTGTAGGGAATTCCCCGTTATACAGGAATGTCTGAACTGTAGAGTCAGATGCGGGGCCAGAGACTGCTTTCAGATGAGGTATCGGATCGCTGAAAGTTGAAGGAGTCCACTCTCCTATTTGAATACTCGACTGCGAGGCATGGCCAAAGAGGCTCCATCGGGGCACGGAAACCTCCGAATCAGAAACCATGTCTCCAATTTTAATGTGCGACTGAGAGGCGTGCCCGTGAATATTCCAGCGAGGTCGCGAGGACACAACATCAGACGTATTTTCCCCAACTCTGATATTAGCGTCCGACGCGTGGCCATGGATGTTCCAGCGAGGTCTAGCCGGCTCTATGTTTGACACATACTCGCCAATCTTAATATTGGCATCCGAAGCATGGCCGTGAATATTCCACCTTGGCCTCGATGGCTCAAACTCAGAGGCATATCCACCAATCTGAATATGAGCTGCAGAGACATGCCCGTGGATATTCCAGCGTGGGCGGCTAGGTTCGACCTCGGAAGCATACTGTCCAATTTTGATGTGTGCATCCGAGGAGTGGCCATGAGGGTTTGAATGCGGATGGGAGAGTTCAGCGTCAGGTACGTATTCCCCAATTTTAATATTTGCATCAGACGCATGGCCGTGAATGTTCCAGCGAGGTACCCTGTCCTCAACATCAAAGACGTTTTCTCCAGCTGCAACATGGCTGTGCGAGACTGAAGGCCTGAGAACAGTATTGAAGTCATACCCGTCGTATTCGGAGACTTGGGTACCGGTTTCCCCTTCTGCCGCACCTTTCGGGGCAGAACTTTCATCTGTCTGACCGTGCAAGGAAAGATCTGAACTGATATTCTGCAGGGCTTCATCCAACAAGTTGGTCTCTTGGGCACTGGGGACAACAAACGTTTCTTCCTGAGGCTTTGGTAAAAAATCTTCAAAATCCAGACCAAGTTCAGATACACTCTTTGGCAGAGTAGCTGCTTGCTCCGTATGGAGAACCTGAGATGCAGTTTCTGTTTCTTCGGACTCTGAATAGTCATTAGACTGTATATTTGTTGCCTGCAGTAAGCCTGGGGATATCACTAGTTGAGATTCTGGGTCTCTGCCGATGTCTACACCATCAGGACACTCGGGCTCTGCAGAAGTTAACTGAAATGGAAAAAAGAAAGAAAATTAATTACTAGAACAGATATGCAACCCACTTATGCAGCTGGGATAGCTTCACCTTAATTGTTTCATCCATAGTTTCTGAAACTACCTTTTTATAGTTTTATATCACTGTTTATTTTTTAACCGGTTTAGGGTTATTATCATCTTCACCAAGCTTTTCAAATGCTCCAGTAGCTACTTCAGTCACTATGGAAACAGCAGATATTTGCTTGCATAACCAGCTGTATTGTTCGGATATCGGGTGAAAACAAAGACCTTTGTCTGAAACACTGGTTTCTACATATTTTTTTTAATTGCACAATCCATAACCCAACAGTGTAACACTTGCTCAAGAAAAAAAAGATATGCATAGAGAACAAATGGCAGGCTATTCTATACCTACTATTCACACTAACATGCAATATGGCCCCAAAAGCTCCCAATTTAAAACAAGAATAACAGGCCACTTTATAAACTCCCCTCCTTACAGGTATGACGGCAGTTCTACTGGGCTCTAAAACAGGCACCCCCAAACTCAGCCCTCCAGATGTTTTGGGACTACAATTCCCATCATCCCTTACCACTGGTCCTGTTAGCTAGGGATGATGGGAGTTGTAGTCCCAAAAACACCTGGAGGGCCAAGTTCAGCAATGCCTGCTCTAAAATGTGGGTCTTACTGTGCACACTGTGACATGAGGACAATCTTACAAAGCACAGATCACAAAAAAGGAGGAAAGCAAATAGAAAGGGGAGTTCTATGAGTGCCCAGAAATGACTAAACGGTGATCAAAACATTAATAAATCTGACACATATATTACAAAATGCCAGAAGAACAGGGGGTGGCGAACCAGCAGTTCGAAGTGTTGCTGGACTACAACTCCCATCATCCCTCACCACTGACTATGCAGGATGTTGCTGATGAGAATTGTAGTCCAACAACATCTGGAGGGTCACATTAGCCACTTTTACTATAAAATACAGTGGTGCCTCGCAAGATGAAATTAATTCATTCTGCAAGTTTTTTCTTCTTGCGAGTTTTTCGTCTTGCGAAGCACGGTTTCCCATAGGAATGCATTGAAAATCAATTAATGCGTTCCTATGGAAACCGCTTGCCAGGCTGGCGGTGCGGAGAAGGGCTTTTCTCCCCACCGCAAGCCTTCAGAACAGGTACAGGAACAGAGGGGAAGGCGCGCAGCGCTTTTCCTCTGTTCCCGGGGCTTGCGGTGGGAAGAGGGTTTTTCCTCCCCACCGCCAACATTCAGAACAGCATTCTGAATGTTGGCGGTGGGAAGGAAAACCCTTCTCCCACCCCAAGTCTTCAGGACAGCCATCCGAAGGCTGGCGCAGGGAGAAGGTCTCTCCGCCCCGCCGCCAGGCTTCGGAGCAGCCTTCCAAAGCCTGGCGGAGGGGCAGAGAGACCTCCTCCCGCCGCCAGGCTTCGGAGCATCCTTCAGAGGCTGCTGCCATAGTCACGCGTCACCTCTCCAGCTGGGAGAGGGTCGCGGGGCTATGGCTTCTTTAGCCCCGCGCACGCTCTCCCGACTGGAGAAGTGACGCGCGCCTATGGAGGCTCCTGCCATAGGCGCGCGTCACCTCTCCAGCCGGGAGAGGGTCGCGGGGGGCTGCTTTAGCCCTGCGCGCGCTCTCCCGGCTGGAGAGGTGACGCTCGGCTATGGAGGATCCTGCCATAGGCGCGCGTCACCTCTCCAGCCGGGAGAGGGTCGCGGGGGGCTGCTTTAACCCGGCGCGCGCTCTCCCAGCTGGAGAGGTGACGCGCGCCTATGGAGGCTCCTGCCATAGGCGCGCGTCACCTGGGAGAGGGTCGCAGGGGGGCTGCTTTAGCCCCGCACGCTCTCCCGGCTGGAGAGGTGATGCGCGCCTATGGAGGCTCCTGCCATAGGCGCGCGTCACCTCTCCAGCCGGGAGAGGGTCGCGGGGGGCTTCTTTAGCTTCGGAGCAGCCTTCTGAAGGCTGGCGGCGGGAGGAGGTCTCTCCGCCCCACCGCCAGCTTTCGGAGGAGGTCCGAGGACAGTGGGGAAGACGCGCTGCGCTTCCCCGCTATCCCAGAGATTTCCCTATGGGCTTTCGTCTTGCGAAGGAAGCCCATAGGGAAATTCGTTTTGCGAAGCGCCTCCAAAACGGAAAACCCTTTCGTCTAGCGGGTTTTCCGTCTTGCGAGGCGTTCGTCTTGCGGGGCACCACTGTACAATGTTTTACTCAGCCAATTCTTAAAGGAACAACTCTACCTTTTACTCTAACCCAAAGGTTTGTACCCTTGAGTGGATTTACTTTTGGTATCCCTGGAAATATTAAGAGCCATGAAGAAAAGTGGAAAATACACGGATATATGCAGACAATAGTCCCATATAGCTGGAGTTGGAAGGAAATAGGATTAAAGCTTGAGGAATAAATCTCAAAGAGTTCGGGAGACAAAATAACTCTTTACTGAAAGACCCAGAAATAGTGCAAAAAAAGTTACAGACTTCAAAAACTGTTTTTCAGATAAATAATACCGCAGATGTCTCAAAAATGTTAATACAGTGGTACCTCGGGTTAAGTGCTTAATTCGTTCCGGAGGTCCGTTCTTAACATGAAACTGTTTTAACCTGAAGCACCACTTTAGCTAATGGGGCCTCCTGCTGCTGCCGCACCGCCAGAGCACACTTCCCTGACAAGACTCTGCTCCGTCTCCAGCAGCTCTTCAGTCAGCTCCAGTCACGCCAGTAGCAGAGATAAACACAGCGGTGATGAAACTGTCACGTCCTTTGCCTTAGCTTCCAGACAAACACACACAGAGTCCAGGCTTGTCCTTTTCAGCTCTTTATTCCGACATTCCCCCAGGAATCTCCTGGGCTCCTTTCCGCCATTAGGAAAGCTACGTCTTTCTCTCTCACCGACCAGAGGGGAACAGAACAGAAACCACTCCCAGGCTCCTCCCAGCTTCCACAGCTGACGTCAGAATGTTGAGGCATCCTGGGAACTTCTTAACCAGTTAAGTTCCAAACTCAACAAGCACGATTTCTGTTCTCATCCTGAAGCAAAGTTCTTAACCCAAGGTACTATTTCTGGGTTAGCGGAGTCTGTAACCTGAAGCGTATGTAACCTGAAGCGTATGTAACCCAAGGTACCACTGTAATGGAATACAAGTAAAACCATTTTATGAGAACAATTTATATCAGCCTGTCTGAACAAAGAATTAAGAAAAGCATATATTAAAGAAACAGAGGAGTTAGAAAAGAAACATTAAAAAATAAAACAAAATTAAGAGGTGACACTTTTCTAAAAAAAAATCTAATGGTAACAAATACAGAGAAGATAGCTGAAGAATTTACATAATATATTACCTTATTTAAATCATAAAACCTGAAAAAATGGGATACTTATGAATGAATGAATAGATGAATGAATGGGAAAGTAGTCCTTGCCACAGATGAATCAAGAGGATAATTGAGTTTATGGAACAGGTGTTTTCTTAAAGGAACACCAACCTGAATGCTGGAATCTCTGACTGGCACAACTGCGGCAGAAGTCTGCTGGCACCATCCTTCCCCAATTATGTCTGCTTTCCTCCTATACTTTCCATCTGTAAGTTTCTCAAGCATATCCTACATATCAAATGGAAAAGACCAAGGATTTATACATACCAGTGCATACATAAATAACCACTGTCAATGTGCTTTCTAAAAAAAAAGCAGCAGCAGCATTTAAGCTACCTCAGTACGCTTTTGATCTTCCATCAGAAATTTGAGACGGGCCGTTTCCAATTTGTGCCTCTGAATTTTCCAAAGGGCTTTTCTCTCTCTACGGGCTGCCTCTTCCGAGAGTTTGCTATAGTGGTCAATCAACTCTTCCCTAAGTGAAAAGAAAGGTAGAATAACTTCACCATGTAGTTTTACAGGATATATACTATGATAGAGCAGAGTACAACAGGAAGGTGTTTAGATTACTTAGGCTACCATCCAGAGTAAAAATGTAGCTCACATAACTCAAGATTTAGTGAGCTAGCAAGTCGGATAATTTATCAGTGCATCATGTAACATACTGAAGTTCCTAAGCAACTAATGCTCACTGAAAAATAAATAAATCTAAACCTAATTATAAATTTTGGGGACGCAGGTAGCGCTGTGGGTTAAACCACAGAGCCTAGGACTTGCCGATCAGAAGGTCGGCGGTTTGAATCCTCGCGACGGGGTGAGCTCCCGTTGCCCGGTCACAGCTCCTGCCAACCTAGAAGTTCAAAAGCACGTCAAAGTGCAAGTGGATAAATAGGTTTACCTCCAGTGGGAAGGTAAAGGTCGTTTCTGTGTGCTGCTCCGGTTCGCCAGAAACGGCTTAGTCATGCTGGCCACATGACCCGGAAGCTGTACGCCGGCTCCCTCGGCCAATAAAGCGAGATGAGCAAGTATGTACTATTTGGCACGTGGGTGGCGCTGTGGGTTAAACCACAGAGCCTAGGACTTGCCGTTCAGAAGGTCGGCGGTTCAAATCCCCGCAACGGGGTGAGCTCCCGTTGCTTGGTCCCTGCTCCTGCCAACCTAGCAGTTTGAAAGCACGTCAAAGTGCAAGTAGATAAATAGGTACCACTCCGGAAGGAAGGTAAACTGTGTTTCCGTGCGCTGCTCTGGTTCGCCAGAAGCAGCTTAGTCATGCTGGCCACATGACCCGGAAGCTGTACGCCGGCTCCCTCGGCCAATAAAGCGAGATGAGCGCCACAACCCCAGAGTCGGTAACAACTGGACCTAATGGTCAGGGGTCCCATTACCTTTAATTATAAATTAAACAGGTGAAAATTTGGGAGCTTTGTGTCTGTTGTGTTTTCAAATGATACACACACTTTGCTGTGCAGTCAGATATTTGTGCAAGCTTAATGCTGTTCTGTCACAGATCAAACACAAGAAAAGCACCTTAAAGCTGTATTGTTTTGGCTGTTCACTAAATACCAATGGCTATAACGTACTCAAAGTTATACCATTTTTCATTCAGAACTAGCAGCACACAGGTGAGTCAATAACAGGGCTGAGTTTAGACTAGCAGGGCGGCAGCTCTCAGCCGACTTCCACATTGCTGCTACATATCGGAGTGAGGTTGGCATGGTGCAGGCTCATCAGCAGAGCCGATAAAAGTGTATCTACACTCGCAACCACCTTACTGCTCCAACTATGATATGCAGCAGCTGGGCTGCCAAGACAAAGACAATGTAAAGACTCCTGGCACAACATACACAGCAGCTAGGCTGGCAGGGCAAAAGGGGGAATTTGTAGTTTATTAGCAAAACTTTCCATTCTGAAAGATGAGAAATTGGACTATCCATTTTCCAGCTTGGAAGCTATTTTTGTAAACATACAACTGCTTGGTACAAAAATTTGAACGTGCAATTTTAACAGCCTTCCTTCCTTCTTTCCACACTTTTACCTTGCCCTTTTCTCCAATTCCTCTTCCAAAGCCTTCAGTCTTCTTTCCCTTTCTCTCAGTTCCCGAGCATAACTGAAATCATCATCAGTCTCCTCCTGTTTCAGAGCACGTCGGCGCTACATAAACATTTAAGAAAGCTTTAGAAACCACATTCCAAAAGCACACATTGTGCTCTGCATATTTTTATCCAAGCAAGTTCTATATAAAGATTTTCTGTCTCTTAACGTTGCTAGCAGAAAACGCACGTTGCAAATACCTCTTTATCTTTTTCAAATTGTTCTTTCAATTTCTGAAACTGCTCACGCTTCTTTGCATCCAGCACCATTTTCTCTGATATCTGTTGATCTGAAACATCAATTTAAGATGCAGCAATGTTAAAAAGAAATAAAGAAAATAGTCGCTGAGAAAAACCAACTGGACTGCAAAGACACCTGTAGCTTACCAGTAAAGGCTTTTAGAGCTTTGGTAGCTGTTTCTCGAGCGTGAAAAATTAGCTCCTGTTTTTCAATTTCCATGCGCAAGTCCTAGGAAGCAATTTCACAGGATTTAATGTGGTTTTCAAGCATAACTCGGTTCGGTTCAACTTTATTAATAATCCACTAACCCTCAAACATTTGGATTTCATACAGTAAAGGTAAAGGTACCCCTGCCCGTACGGGCCAGTCTTGACAGACTCTAGGGTTGTGCGCTCATCTCACTCTATAGGCCGGGAGACAGCGCTGTCCGCAGACACTTCCAGGTCACGTGGCCAGCGTGACAAGCTGCATCTGGCAAGCCAGCACAGCACATGGAACGCCGTTTACCTTCCCGCTGGTATGCGGTCCCTATTTATCTACTTGCACCCAGGGGTGATTTCGAACGGCTAGGTTGGCAGGCGCTGGGACCGAGCAATGGGAGCGCACCCCGCCGCGGGGATTCGAACCGCCGACCTGACGATCAGCAAGTCCTAGGCGCTGAGGTTTTACCCACAGCGCCACCCGCGTTCCTATTTCATACAGTGGGGGTAAATAAACACAAAAATACGGAAAGGTCAATTTTCAGTACTACACACACACACACACACACACACACACACAAAACAGCACGAGATTAAAAAAACCTAGCATCAAAAACCCAAAGCATGTATTCAGGTATGCAATTTCATGAAGGAAGAACAAGTTATCAGGCAAACAACTTAAAGAAACTATCTTACCTATAAATGGGGGTCTTAACTGAAACAATTACAGTATTATAATTTGATGGGTAAAATAAAGCTTGGCTTTTCATTTGTCTGGGCCTAAGATCTGCTGCACCAGTAGGACACTAATGCCTACGCCAAGGCAGCATGCTTTCTCATTTGTCCCAGTGAAATTAATGAAACTTATTTTCAACACACATGCGCAAGGACCACACTGTTGTTTTCGATGCACCATACAAAGGCAGAGTCCATGTTCTGGGCAATAGCACTTTCCTGATACAAAAAAATATTGATTTGGTTGAGTCCGTTTACCTTTTCCTCCTTGCTGATGGTACTATAGCGTGCGATTCTTTCCATTCGGCCCACGTACACTGCACAATCTCTCTCAATCTCTCTCAGTTCGTCGAGGGAGAAGATGACAGAAATCCGAGGAACGGGGATGTCAGACCAGCAGATGTAGTGCTGCAAAAGAGTGGCAGCAAACAGCTGAAGAATGCAGTCCAAGCTTTCATGCACTTCAGAACTGCAAACCTATTGGTAGGGTCTCATTCAGTCTTAAGTCTGCTGTGGACTGTGGGTGGGAATCCTCATGACCTGGGCCTGGAACAAATGTGGCCCCCAGGCCTCCCTAAATGGCCCTCAGGGATCTCCCCAGGCCACACCCCTCCCTGTCTAGGCTACACTCTCTCCTCTAGTTGTGCTGCCTGACCACAGAGATGTACTGTATGTGTAGAAATGAATGTGCGGCTGGCTGGCCCTAGTCAAATATAAGAGTAACCTCACTTGTTCCATGTGCCACTGGAATGGGTTCCCTGGAAGGGATTGTGGCCTTTGGGCTTAAAAGAGTTCCGCGCCCTTGTGACAGTATTTATTATATTATTCCATTAACTGCTGTGCTGTGTGACTACAGTGGACACTCGGGTTGCAAACGTGATCTGTGCGGGACGCATGTTCGCAACCCGCAGCGGTGCGTCTGCGCACGCACGGGTTGCAATTCGGTGCTTCTGCACTAAGCCGTTCCGGTACTTCCAGGTTTTGACGGTCCCCAACCTGAAAAAATGCAACCTGAAGCGTCTGTAACCCGAGGTATGACTGTATAGTGACCATTTCTGATGTTCTTTGTGGAATGTTCAGTCGTGAACACCTCCATGGGATATGCTTTGTCGTTTCTTTCAGATTGTTTCATTGTGAAAGGTTCGTCCGGTTAGTTTAGATCAAACATAAGGCAGCCAATTATGAAGTGAGAATTTTAAACTTACGTTCCACGATAACGTGATACGGAAGACAAGCAACATATTCATGATATGACAGAGCGCAAGCACAGAATGATTTGTGGTAAAGAAAAAAAGAAAAATCAAATCATAATTAAGCCTATGAAGAGATGCTCTACTTGGAAGTCTATCTTTGCATGAAAAATGAGGGGGAAGCAAAGAATTCAGCTTTTTATTTAAATTAGCTGTCATTTAGTCTTCAATTTAAGAAACATTCTAAACTAAAAGATTCCAGTAAATTGGGGGAGGGGAATGTAATTGGGTTGGTGTTTTTATTTTGATTATATGTATTGCAGTTTTTATGTTGATCTTTTCTGTGGACCGCCCTGAGACCTCATGGTATAGGGCAGTATATAAATCTATAATAATAATAATAATAATAATAATAATAATAGCAGCAGCAGCAGCTTGATCTTGGCCAATAACAGAATAATCTTGGTAGAAAGGCCCAATAATACATTTGGATGGGGCAGTGGCTTACAGTCCAGGAACAAGAAATTTCTATGTAAGAAATTAACCCAAAATATGGACGTGGTGCATGAATGTCATCGTTAGGGAAGGTGTTCTCAGCTAATCGGGGAGTCATAGTCTCTTCAGCTAAAAGTGACTTTTCCAAGGGTATATGACTTCAAATGTACTTGAAAACAATGCTTACTCCATGATTTTAAAGAGCAACGGGTACTTACCCTGGGACAACACAACTTTAGCAAGTTTATGGTTTTCCCACAAATGTAGACATCATTGGCAATATGTTTCAAAAACACAGGCACACAGTCTTCTACTTCCTTGGAAATTAAAACGTACCCATGGGTCCAGTAGTGTTTGTCTAGAGAGCCAAAAGGACAGAGAGGTCAGAAAGTGAGGCATATAAAGAGTACTTTGGTGTATTAAGTTTTTAATGCAATAAAAGTGCAACTATTATCTATTTGTTGAACAGTACCCAATGACTTACTTTGCAATCACTCTATTTCATTTCAAGCAAAATCCACAACTTCATCCAGATGATGCACTTGTGACTGGCATCAGGAATACGGTAACGCTAGTGTCATTGATGTCTACTGGCTAGTGTCTTGTGATATTGTTAGCTGTATAACCTCTGCTTGAGAATACAGTGGTACCTTAGTTTAAGAACAGCTTAGTTTATGAACAACTTGGATTAAGAACGCTGCAAACCCAGAAGTAGGTGTTTTGGTTTCTGAACTTTGCCTTGGAAGCAGAACATGTTCCACTTCCTGTTGAGAGTGTATTCCATTTGTAAACAGAGTTCCCTGCTGCTATGGGAAAGTCTTGATTTAAGAATGCTTTGCTTTAAGAACGGACTTCCGGAACAGATGAAGTTCATAAACCAAGGTACCACTGTATTTACTTAGCACTAGTTCTAAAAAGGTTTTCTTTGTTTCTCTTTGTTCTTAGTCCACAAAACAAGAGTGCATGTGGTGAAAAGGGAAATAGGCACAATATACATATGTGTTTTGAACAACACACACAGAAACAGCTAAATTCACACAAAAAAAGAAAACAAACATGGTGTCACGTTTAAAAGAAAGTTAATGCCATCTCCCAGGGAAACGGTAATGGAATAAATCAACCATAACTTTTCCAGTTGTCCGGCATAGACCCTTAAGTCACTAGCCAGAGGAAAAAGCAAGGGAGCCACAGTGATCATGCCTGGATTCAAGGAGGGCAGGAAGTGAGCTTGAGAATCACTGGAGATGCCAGCTTCCAAAGCTTTCATTCCTGCCATTCCCTGCTAGCCAAAGGGTAATTTCAAAAGAAGACAATTCATTTGTAACATACCTCTAAAGCCAAGATAATCCTCATTCACCTGAATCATGAATTCGCCATACACATCTCTGAATACACCGCTATAAACCCAATCGTGTATAAACCTAAAGGCAAAAGGTCGAATGTTGAAAAAGGTGTTTTATAAAAAGGTAAAGGACCCCTGACAGTTAAGTCCAGTCGCGAATGACTCTGGGGTTGCAGTGCTCATCTCGCTTTACGGGTTGAGGGAGCAGACGTTTGTCCGCAGACAGTTTTTCCCATGATGTAGCCAGCAAGACTAAGCCGCTTCTGGTGAAAACAAAGCAGTGCACGGAAACGCCGTTTACCTTCCCACCAGAGCGGTACCTATTTATCTACTTGCACTTTGACGTGCTTTCGAACTGCTAGGTGGGTAGGAGATGGGACAGAGCAACAGGAGCTCACCCCATCGTGGGGATTCGAACCGCCAACCTTCCAATCGGCAAGCCCTCGGCTCACCCGCATCCCTGTATTTTATAAACACCCTCTTAAATAAGGGTATGCTGTCCAAACAGAAAACAGATCTGATAAAAATACTACCACTAAAATAACTATTCAGGTTAGATAGCAACTGTAAAGACCTATGGCTCAGCTTCAAAACTGTCCCCAAAGAAGATACCTGAACGCTATAACAGCTCAGTTTTACACTGGTACTGAAAGAGATAAATTAACTACCATGTCAAGAAGAGTCTCATATTAATTGGGATTTCTGCTTTGATACTTAAGTGAGTTTCCAGAAGGATCTCTGTGTCTTTATCTTTGAATAAGCATTTAAATAATAATAATATGCCACTCTGAAATACACAGAGAATTATTTTAATGTGCAAAAAGAAAAAACTTTAAAAAGTCTCAGAACATATTTAGTAAGCATAGACCATTTTAAGAGTTTTGCTACAATACTATACCCACTGACCAAGGAGTAAGGTCAACTGAAATCAATAGGACCTGAGAATATGCAAATAGGAATGAATTGCTAGCTTTATTTCAGTACACTAAAATAAGGCTGCTGCCATTCAAAAATTCCAGCTCCTTTTAAGAACTCACAGGAACTCCATCTACAGGAAATGCATTAGCTCATCTTTGTAACAGCACTTCCACAATGCACAACCTTAAATTGAAATACTTACCGTGTATATGGTTCACAGCTTGTTTTTAGTAGGGAGAGAAGAACTGGGTAATGTTCATTGCTGCAGTTATTAAGAGCTTCTTGGTATAGATAGGAAAGTAGTTTCACACCCTGAAATAAATGCATAAGCCACTCTTTGAAAGGAAAACCATAAACACATATAGGTACTTCTGATGAGACTCAGCTTCATCTGATAGTTTTATTGCATTGGCAGGACTCAGCTGGAAGTGCTGGTTTGGCTGGAAAAATCCTTAAAGCCTTTTGTTGACTTCTGGAGATACCATTCTATTAATGCTGAATGAAAGAAGAAGAAGTGTGCTCTTCCTAACTATATTTCTTTTAAAACCAATACATTCCGGCACATCTATACAATCTGACATGGTTTTTTAAAAATGCTGATGAGGAGACACATTACAAGCTGATTCAGTGGTGGAAATCACTTTTCTTAGAAATGGAAGCATAGAGAATAGAAACAGCACCCAAAGCGCTCTGAGATTGCTTGCTTATGTTTGAATCACACCTAGTCGTTTCATGCTTAAAAATGCACACCACTCGGTTGGCTGCGACTGCAAAGAGAAGCGCAATCATACTCACTGTTGGAAATGAAGTAGCAGCAGCAGTTCCCTGCGCAGTCACTCCTATTCCGCAGAGTTCAGCTATATACCTTCACAAAACACAACAGCAGCAAATTACACTTGCGTAGTACCTTTAAGAGCATGGGGTGGGAGGAAGACCTGTGGGCCCCCAGATCACAATTTCCATCACTCCTGGCTATTGGCCATGCTGGCTGGAGCTGATAGGAGGTGGAATCTAAGACCCGGAGAGCCACAGCTTCCTGTTTAAGAGCCTAAGAATCGGTTTACTGGACCTTTCAGGCTAGAATTCCGTCTTCCCCAGTGGATAACTAAATGCTTCTGAGAAGTTCACAAACTATCTGTTTTTCAGTATTTGGCCCCTGCAGCTGGTGTTGAGATGTATAGCAAGGTAAAAGGACCCCTGGATGGTTAAGTCCAGTCACAGGAGACTATGGGGTTTTGGTGCTCATTTCGCTTTCAGGCCGAGGGAGCTGGCGTTTGTCCAGACAGCTTTCCGGGTCATGTGGCCAGCATGACTAAACCACTTCTGGCACAATGGAACACCGTGACGGAAACCAGAGTGTAAAGAAACTGTGTTTACCTTCCTGCCACAGCGGTACCTATTTATCTACTTGCACTGGCATGCTTTTGAACTGCTAGGCTGGCAGGAGCTGGGACAGAGCAACGGGAGCTTACTCCATCGCAGGGATTCAAACCGCCGACCTTCTGATCGGCAAGCACAAGAGGCTCAGTGGTTTAGACCACAGCACCACCCACGTCAGTCTGTTAGTGAAGGTTCCATTTAGCTATCAAGCCTACATACTTTTGCCTAATCCTTTTTTTTTAAAGCTACATAAGGAAGTAGGCAACACCATATCAACACTAACTCTTATTCTAAGACTAACACTAACTTTTACCACACCATCCAAGCTGTTCTTAAAAACGTCTTCAATTTCAGCTTCACTGTCTAATTAATGGCCTTGTTTTCAACTCCATCAACTGACTGTTCTGGTTTGCAAATGTTCTTTGGAACCTGAACGTCTGCCGGGACTTCCGATTGGCTGCAGAAGCATCTTGCAGCCAATCGGTAGCTGCGCCTTGGTTCCTGAACATTTTGGAAGTTGAACGGACTTCCGGAATGGATTCTGTTCGACTTCCAAGGTACGACTGTGTATATATGCTCCAAACTTGCGAAGTTGTTATGGCTACACTATAGCAACTTTATTGTTATTCAAAAGTTACAATACAGTTACAATGCAATACATTTTCTATCAATATCTCAGCTTTCCAACACGTGCCAATTTGCCTAAGAACAGTTCTGGAACAGTATCCAGCTCCCCACATATATATGCAGTAACAGGAAATAAAGAAATAATCCAAGTTAAATGGCAAAAACAGCCCAAAAAAGTGTGAAAACTGGGGAGGGGGGTGTGAAAAGAGCAGGGAAATCAGCCAGCAATCCCATGAGCCTTTGCACCAACCACTGAGGCCTGTGGAAAGTTGGTATTTGAGAAAGGAGGCAATGAGGAAGACTGAGAACCACCAGTGCTGCCATTCATGCCAATCTGGTATGTCCTACTTACTGGTTATCAGGGGTTTAGAGGGTGTTTATAGTCTTTCCCCCCACTATATGCAATTTCACATATACAAGGGGTACCCGGGAACGAAAGCCCCATGTAAGTGGAGAGTTGCCTGTACAGAAGCTGGAAACCCTGGTTCTAGTGCAAGTAATACAGGTTACTGAGGAAGGGAATAATATATATAAAGCGGTAGGGCATCTGCCTCACATGCAAAAGGTCATAGGTTCAATTCCCATCATCTCCAGGTAGAAAGAGGAAATCTTCTGCCTGAAACCCTAGTGAGCAACTGCCAATCAGTGCAGACAATACTAAGCTGAGATGGACCAATGGCATGACTCGGTATAAGTAAGTTTCCTACGCCCCTATGGTTACTTAAAATGTCTCACCTATGAACCCACCATCTAAATTAACTGACTAAAAATATTATGCTACAACTATGCTGCATAAGCAGACAGTATAACAGTGAAGGAGACGGAGAAGGAGAAGCAGAACAATGCTAGCTAATCTAGTCTGAAACTGCTTTACCAATGAGGACTAAACTACAGCAATGCTATCAGCAGTTCAAAGGGCACGTCTCTTGATTCCTTTGTGGTTTGGATCAAGCATGGAAGATGTCAAGGCTTCCTTTCCGTTAACTTTTAATGCCGTGGTATTACCTTAGCTGGCGTCCTAGTTTCCTGAAGAGGAAGCTGATGGTTAGAAGCGTCAGAGTGGAAGGAGTCGACAAAACACACGCTCGGTAGTACTGCAGGTATTTTCTCAGCCCGCTTGTAAATGCCTGACAGGAGAGAAGTGAGAAGATCTGCTACGAAAATTGTTTGTGCACGGCATACATTCAGTGTATGCTTTATAGGAAAGTGGCAACTGGGTATACTATTCTTTTTGAGCCTTCTTCAGATGCTTAGGATCTGTGCAAGCCCAATTTACACCCTATGAGCAGACGCTTGTTTTTAACTTTTTTTTCTAACTTTTTCTTCACTTGCACTGTATGGCTTTTATCTTTTTAATGCTGTAAACCGCTTTGATATTTTTTATGATTTTGTGGTAAATAAAGATTTATATAAATAAACCAAGCCTTATGAGGAGCAGTTGGAGGAGCTGGGTATGTTTAGCCTGCAAAAGAGGAGATAAGACACTTTTGGCAAGACTTGGCTTCCATTCTTTCCCTTTATAAATGAGACAGAATATGCTTTCATTCCACCCACAACACAAGAATCTCTGTGGAGAGGATACTTGAATTGACAATGCACAAACAAACGTACAGCTTGTGTACTGCATATGAAACTTAATAAGAATGTACCACTGGACAAGATACTGTAGTTATATGTTGTTCTTGTATTTACATGGTTTAACTGATTCTTAGTTTTTCTTTGATCTCACATCATTATTGATGCTACTACTGAAATTAGTCAAATGCTGCAACAAAGTTTAAAATTCTGTAATTGTTTTTCAAATATATTTTAAAGACTTCCCATTTTGAAACAAATATCTGTTTTGGTTTATTCTTTATTTTTTCAGACAAGTTATCTAACTCTGTATATTCAGTCAATTTTTGGATCCAATCTTGCACAGATCTTAGTTTGTCAGATTTCCAATTTGCAGCAATCAAAACTCTTGCTGCAACCGTAGCATATAAAAAGATATCCCCCCCCGTTTTTTTTTTGTATATCCAAATCTGTAATCCCCAGAAGGTAGGGCTCTGGTTTTCTATTAAAGGAGATTTTAAGCATTTTTTGCAATTATAAATGGATGCCCTCCCAGAACACATTAATTTTCTTGCATTGCCACCACATATGGTAAAGAGTGCCTGGTTTTTCTCCACATCCCCAGCAATCGCCTGGGACACTTTTGTACATCTTTGTTGGAGGTTTCTGCAGCCACAGCAGTTTGACTTCACCCCTGGAGGTGGTGAATTATCTCTTGAGACAGACAGATGCCAACAACTGTCCACAAAACAACTTGGACTGATTGACCTCACTGCTTGGATAAACACAGCATTTCTCATTACTTGTTCCTCTAGCGATGGAGTGAGCCCCCTTTCATCAACTTCCCTCCCCGACAACTGGGTCCCAAACTCCAGCAATCCACTTTGGGAAATCTAACTAGATCTAACTAGTAATTCTTATCTACAACCCACCCACCTAATCACTAAGCCCCAAGGCACGCCACATTTATTTCCTTCCTCTATCGTCACAAAAACTTGATGTAGTAAACCACTGTTGCTCCCAGGGGGTTGAAAGTGGATTTCAACAACTCCTGGACCCAATTTCAACTCCAAATCCATTGCACCAACAGGCTTCTAGGCAGCTGTGTAACAGCACATTTTGTTCAGAGGAGAGACTATACCTCTCCCCACTTCCACTCGTAAAGCAGGCATGTCCAAAGTCCGTTTCGGCGGCATAATCCGTCCCGCAGGTCAGTTTAATCTGGCCCCTGTGGCAGTTTATTTCCTGGGTAAAATCCTAAAAAAAAACCCTACTTCAACCCTAAAAAAAGGTTAACAACTTTGGTCGGCTGTCACAACCCTTCACTTCATCAAATCTGGCACTCTTTGAAAAAAGTTTGGACACCACTGGAAGAGTCTGGGTACTCTCCAGAGATCCCTGGGTTCTACTGATAGAAACTGATGCTCTGTCCTTCTTTCCCCATTGCTTCTCCCAAAATTCTGCTCAGGAGTGTTGGGGACCCTACAGTACAGCTTGGGAGGTGAAGGTGTAGAATCCGAGCTGCTTTCATGAACAAGAGGGTGCAATTGGATCTAACCAATAGACATCAGATAAAGACAGAAGTATAGCAGGACATCAAGCTAGATTAGTGATAGCAAAACTGCTGGCATGCTACCTGAAAAACAAGTCCTTTTCTGTACGAAGAGTCCAAAACTGGTTGGACAGAGAAGCGGCTGAGTCGTGTGTAATAAGTTCCATATTCAGCAACTTCTGACAGGAGACTGCTCATGCTTTCAGGTGACGTTCCAGATACATGTAGACCCTGCTTGGCTACAAACAGCACGGCTGCCTACAGGGTTGTAAAAAAGAGGAAGGCATCAATAAAAATGTACAGCACACAAAGTAGTTACAAAATTGAGACACAAGTCCTCATCATCATAAGTTAGAGCTACTAAATAGGTGCACTGTTTGTTTTTAAAAAATCTTTTTTTGGGGGGGGGGAAGCCTACTATGCAAAAAACCACTAATAGCTTATCAGCAGATTAAATATTACAGCATTAGGTAAAAAAAGAAATATACACACATGGTAAAATTGTAAAGAAAATTAAATCCATAAAATGAAAATTCACACGGAAACCCTTATTTTCTAGTGAATAGTTCCCAAAACATTCCTTTCTGCTCAATGCAAATTGCATTTTATTGCCAGATCTACCATGCCTGGATTGTGTGCTTGGGTCCATACTGGCAATTAACGCCAGTCTCTTCTTAATCTGGATTTACTGTTAATATTATATAGGTATTGGTTTTACTGCATATTTTGTACTATAAACCAGTTTGTGATTTGTATGTGTGTGTTTTTTTTAATGAATACTCTTATGATGGATACAACCCGTATTAGTTTTTTCTGTCTACTTAGTAGCTCTTCATATAAGGGTATATAAATGATACTTGCAGAGCATCTTAAGTCTTGTTTTCATATGCTTTGCAAAATTCAGTAATATGCATCCTCTCTGTGAAATGATGAATATTACTATAATATTATTTCTGCTGACATAAAACACAAGTGTGCATGCTGGGACTTAAAAGCAAAGATTAGAGCTCCTCAGCAGCTATTTACATACTTCTGTATACCTGATTAAATGAGAATGAAGTAGATACCACCCCAATAAGGACATTCAAAACATCTTTAACAAGTTCTGATTCTTTTATTAAAACACGTTGTGGAAGCTGAAGTTTGGTACTGCTGAAAAACTGCAATTCCCCTTCTCGAAGTCTGCAAAATTTGTCAAAGGCTTCTCTGCCAGCTTCAGAAAGGTACGGCTCCTCTTTTTTCCCAGGAGGACTGTGTTTGGGGGAAAAAAAAACAAATATCAAATGTATAAAGTGCCACACTGAAAAACTTAAGCCTGTAGAAGAGAGATATTCTGAATGGCTTTCATCCAGCCCACCATCAAGTCCAGGCCCCAGCCTAGGATTTGCATGGCCTCAATTCAGAAGTTACAGCAAGAAATGCTCATGCAATTCTAGGTTGTATCAACAGAAGTCTAGTGTCCAGATCTACTCTATTCTGCCTTGGCCAGACACCACCTAGGGTCCTGTGCAGCACAATTTAAGAAGGATATCAACAAGTCAGTGTGCAGAGGAAGGTGACCAAGATGATAAAGGGTCTGGAAACCAAGCCTAAGAGGATTGGTTGATGGAGCTGGGTACGTTTAGCCTGGATTATGGGAGACTGAGAGGAGATATGAAAGCCATCTTCAAATATACGAAGGGCCGTTACACGGAAGACAGAGCAAGTTTGTTTTCTGCTGCTAGGTGGGCCGGAGAGACCCAAACCAATGGATTCAAAAGACAAGAAAGGAGAATCATTAGGAAGAGTTTTCTGATGGGAAGAGCTGTTTGACAGTGAAACAGTCTCCCTCAAAAGGTGGTGGACTCCACATCCTTAAAGGTTTTTAAGCAGAGGTTGGACAGCTATCTCTCAGCGTTTCTTTAGCGGTGATTCCTGCACTGCTTGGGGTTGGACTAGATGACCCTCAGGGTCCCTTCCAACTCTACAGTTGTAAGATGATCTCCTTGAAGTCACAAGGAGGAAAGGAAAGCCTGGAATCCAAAGGCTCACTGCAGCCGATTTTCATAATGGTAGACCATGGTTCCGAATTACATGCAAAGTCTCCCAATTCTTAGGATCTAAGCAGATCCATGGGAATGCCTAGAGAACATTAGGGGTTTGCCAGATTCCCCTCAGTTAATAGTACAAGGGATGCCGCTCTAGAGATTCCCCATCTGCCAGGCTCCGTAACTTTTTGGAAGATACAACAGGAAGCCTGAGCAGCTTAGGTGTGTATGGATCCCAGTTTGTATTCAGCTGCCATTCTCAAGTCCCAGTTTTATTGGGAACGTTAGAGGGGTGGTATTCAACTAAGCTTTAATCAGGGGGAAAAAAACAGTGAAATTAATGTACAAGTTAGGTCTATTCATTTTAAGAGGTCTACACTGAGTAAAAACTTAGTTGAATACCACCCTGAGTTTTGCTATTTCAAAAATAATTTCAAATTCACTGACAAATATTGACTTGATACAAATCATGGAAGCTTCCAACAAAAACAGCCCAACATTCTGAATCTTAAAGACAAATACGTACCATCCAATCCTTTCCCAACATCTCCGCTTACTAGGTCCATAGGTGAGCACTGCTTCCCAGAGATCAATATCTGGTGTGACGCTGGGTTCTGACTGGGAGTCAGGGGTGAGATTGGATGCAGACTGGAATCCCTCATCTTCTGAAGGATCTATACTTTGGGGGACCTATAAAAACATGTACCCAGTCGATTATCTTTCAGCACAGTGATTTTCCATAATTGTGACCAAAAGAGTTAACTTCTTAGCCTGCCTCCCTAGTTCCTCAGATTGTTCCTGATGCATCTCCTAATCAAAAATTCCTAGTACAGAGCTACATATTCTATCTACACCCTGGTGGACCAAGATTAATAGGTTTTTATTTACTCTGAAATAAGTGTGGCAAAGCATGTATTGCCCAACTGCAAGGAGCAACTTGATAAATTAATTCTTACATTTGAGATGGTCTGTACTGTCTCTTTTACTAGGCAGAAGAACTAAAGGGCATAGAGAGAAACAATACTGACCATGAATGTGGGTTCAAATCCTTCTTTAGCCATACAATAAGACGTGGTTCCCCCGCCCCCTCTTCAAAATGTGAACGCTAATGAGCTATATTACAAAGTTGTTGCAATATACAGATTGTGATCAGATCAGGATACATCAGGAGAGAAATACATTAAGCATTTCCTTAAAACAAAAATACTGCCTTCTCCCTCACCCTGCTCCTTAAATTTCAAAAGTTGTTTACAATGGTGTATACTGTTGTATACAAGGTGTTGGAAGAAAAGCAAGCAAAAAAGACAACAAAAGCCCTGCTGCACATATAAATCTGACACACAAGATGGTGGCTACAGATTGTACCACTTTGGATTTCAAAAATAATGTGACATGTGGAAACTACTATTTGCAAAGGAGCTGAATGGGTCAGAATGCTGCAAGTGCTCTCAGATGCACAAGCAAGAGAGAATAGGAAACACCAGGAAGACAACAGAAGGAAGACACAAGGAAATTACCATATTTTTCGCACCACAGGACGCACCGGACCATAGGGCGCACCCAGTTTTTAGGGGGGGGGGAAATCAAGGAAAAAAATATTCCCCCCCCCAGCCCCAAAGAGCAGCGTACAGGCTGCGCACAACCTCTCCATGCTGGAGGGTTGCGCACGGCTATGGCACAAGCCAAGGCAGCGAGCGGGATGGATCCTGCTCGCTGTTTTGGCTTCCTCTTTAGCCCCACGCAACATCTCTCTGCCGGGAGAGGCTGTGTGGGGCTAAAGAAGCCATAGCCCTGTGCAGCCTCTCCTTGCCGGAGGGGTTGTGCGCAGCTATGGAGCAAGCCAGGGCAACGAGGGGGAAGAATCCCGCTCACTGTTTTGGCTTCCTCTTTAGCCCCCTGCAGCCTCTCCCTGCCAGAGGGGTTGCGCGCAGCTATGGAACAAGCCGGCATTCGCTCCATAGGACGCACACACATTCCCCCTCAATTTTCGGAGGGGAAAAACTGCGTCCAATAGAGCGAAAAATACGGTATTAACAAAGAATTTTGCTCACAAGCGTCTAACTGAAAACAAGAGCATTTATGAAGAAAATGCCACAATTTATTACAAGTTGCATGCTCTAACAAATATCTATGCTAAATATAAATAAAATAAGGGTCACCCAAAATGTTCCATACCTTGATTGCAAGTCCAGACAAATCTGCACTGTCAGGCACTGGTGGAAAATCCAACTTGATATCCATGTCATATGTGCGACTGTGAATAAGAGCCCCAAAGAGCGAGACACGGGTTTCTCTCTCAAACTTGTCACCGACCGAGCAGCTTTGTGAAAATAATTCCACAGTAGGAAGACCTGTGCCAGGTGCTGCCTCCATGATCTGCAGTGTCTTTTGAACTGTATCACTAAACTGATGTTCCTCATTTGCAATTAAAGCCTGCATATCAGCTTCAAACACACTAACATCATAATAATCATAACCTTGGTATTTTACATTTCTTCCAACATATTTGTTGTTTGCAAAGTAGTCTTTCTTGGGTGGTAAGCACTGTGGTCCTGTTCCTGCAAGCTGAATCAGAAGATCCAGAACAGAAGTAATTTCAGTGAATGGTAAACAGGTAGACCTTTCCAAATCATCTACAAGCTCCTCCAGCCGGTCAGCTTCCTTCCCCATTCCAGCAACTCTCAAGTTGAAAGACAGCATTAGAATTCTGTTTTTCACTGGAAGTCTAGAAACATTTGACTGTGCCTTCTGGGTCTCATCCACAAAAAGGGTGGAAAACAAAGCATTATACGCAATTTTCTTGAGGCTTTTACTGGATCCTTTTTTGCTGTTCTTTTCCCTGCCCAAATGGACCTTCTTTGACAAACCTGCTATGTGGGCCTCACACAAATCACCAAACAGCTTTGTAATACTCTCCATGGCAGCAGCAGCAGTTAACTGGATATCCTCTTGAAGTCAAGATCGTGTATAACCAGTACTAAGAATCTGCTGGGGATCCATTACGCTGCTTGGAAAAGCAAAAGGAGAATAATTAATGATCTTCTCCCTACTGAAATAAAGTTTCAATTACTTTATTAATGCAACGTCCTTACCAACTGTGCATTAAAGGTCTTGATCAGTGGTTCCCAATTAGCTAAGTACTGTGGGGCCCCTGTTCTTCAAAAGTCAAGCCATGGACCCTCTACATTTCAAAATTTCGGTATCTCTACATTTTTAATATTCGAATGGAGCCACGAACCCTCAACAACCCTACCTATATCTATACCCCAATAACCATACCTACATTTATACGGGCGCCTACGGAGATAATCCATTTCAAAAGCAACGGTACCCAAATGAATTGTCATGAAAGAAATGGGTGGGGGAGAAGTTTGCCCTCCTCGCTCACGGTACCATATTATTATTATTATTATTACTAATTTCATTTCTATACTGCTTTATATTTTTAAGAAAAACCTCAAAGCGGTTTACAGCACATTAAAACATCAATAAAACAATCCAGAATTAAACATTACTGAAGAAAGTAAAAAATACAGCAATACCTAACACGGTGGATTGGCAAATCCTAATGGTAGAATACCTGCAGCTAGCAAAGACGACAGGAAGGATAAGAGGCCAAACAAAACAAATAGTCTATAAGGATTGGATAATTTTTAAAGAATACTTTAAAAATTACGGTATAAAAGGAAACTTCTTGGCAGAATTAGACTGAACCTTGCATTGTATAAATATAAGCTTGTAGGGAAGTTAACAGAAGCTATATAAGAAATATGTAACTGTGCGGTATAAGATAATCAACAGATAAAGTACAGCGAGACTAATTGGAAGTAATTTCTTGTTTTACAAGTTTTACAATCATTCACATCATTGGGAGTACAAATAATGTTAGCTATAAGAATTGTGTTGTTTCATATATTGCTATTGTCTGTTTGTCAATTTATAGTTTGTTTGTTTGTTTGTTTGATTGTATGTTGGTTGGTTGCTTTGCTTTCCTGGCATAAATGTATCCATTTTAAAACTATATATATATATATATATATATATATATATATGTATAGTTTTAAAATGTCAAATATAAAGTATACAGTGAAAGCAACATAGGGGCTCCTTGTGTGTGTGTCCCCCCGAAAAAAGCTGCCTCCTTTTGGTCTCCATATTACCGAAGTGCGCCCCTGCCCCCCCAAAAAACAGACCTTCCTTTTTTAAAAAAAGAAGAAGGGGCAGTTAATGGGGCTTAAAAGGAGCCAGGGCTCACTAGGACGTAACACCAGGGCTCCAATTCAGCCTGTGCTGAGTGCCAACCCTGCACCACCCTGAGAGGCCCCCATACCACCTAGAACGAAGAAGGCGGGAAGAGCTTCTTGGGTCGAGACTCGGGCGCTTCCCCCTCCATAACGCCTGGCGCACCCGCTCCCCCCCCATCACGGTTTCCATGGCAACGCCCCATACCGAACAGGCCTCCCGTCGCTCCGGGGTGTTTCACGGCGACGCGAACCGCCCGCCCGCTGCCGCCCGTCCGTCTTTGCCTCTCTTCACCCCATCCCCGCTGAAGGGCGGCGCGAAAAACGGGCGCCCCGCGGAGCTCGGCGAGCCCTCAGCTGCCGCCGCCGCCGTGATGAGAAAACGCGCTCCTCTGCGAGTCGCGGCCTTGTGACATCACAGGCGAGCGACGAGGGCGGGAATGCGGGGTTTTTAGAACGCTGAGGCCTCGCCGCCTGAGGGGAAAGGAAAGGGGGCGGGGCTAAGCAAGTGCCCGGGCGCGGATTCCTCCCTGGAAACGCAGCGGCGGGGGAGTTTGTTGTGGTTGTCGGCGTGTGGAGAAGACGCAGTGCGCATGCTCATGGCCCTTAGTGCTTCCAGACCACGGGAAGTAACTTCCAGGGCTGCTGGAGCTAAAAGAGGCGTGCGCCCTAAGCAAATGCCCAGAAAGCATTAAACTCCTTTCCTACGGTAGCCCTTTCTAGCGCGCAGGAAAGGTGTCATCAGGCTCTCCCAAACTTGGGTCTCCAGCTGTTGTTGGACTACAACTCCCATCATCCCTAGCTAGCAGGACCAGTAGTCAGGGATGATGGGAACTGTAGTCCCAAAACAGCTGGAAGGAAGATACATTCTAATACAGGGAACAATGACAAGGGAAGAACACACTATGATTAATATTTATGCTCCTAATGAAAATCAGGTGGGCTTTTTTGATAAAGTGTTTAACGAAATGGAGGATATTCAAAAGGAGGTTTCAATGTGGTATTAGATAAACGATTGGACAAGTCAAATCCTATGCCAGAGGAAACACGTAAGAACATTCCAGGATTAGCTAAAATTATGAAAAGGAAAGAGATGGAAGATGTTTGGAGAGTGATGAGGGGAGGAGAAAAGAAATTTTTGTTCTCACCAGTGCATAAGCCCTACTCAAGGATCGATTACATCTTCGTTTCAAAAAACTTAGTATCTAAAATAATAAATACGGAAATTGGAATAATAAAGGTAACCGACCATGTATTGGGAGTCGCGGGTGGGCAGTGCGCCGAATGTCACCCCTTTCAGTGTGTGTGTGTGTGTGTCCGTGCTCAAAGCTGTGCTGCTGCTCATGAGGCAAGGCAAGGTCTCCCCAAGGGCAGGACATAGACTGGACGGGCAGGGAGAGCCTGGCCGATCGCTAGGAAGGGGACGCGTTGCGATGCAACTCAACCCAGCTAGGTTCCACAGACTGGGACTTAGGCAGGATCCTAGGCCTATTCAAATGACCCAGCAGCTCAGTGTAACTCAAGCACGGTAACTCAAGCAGTGTAACTCAAGCAGTGGAGGCGATAGATGCACTTTCCCCCGTTTATTTGTTTGTTTTGTAGCACAAGAAATTATATTTCTTTGCTGCTTTTCATTCGCATGAATCGCAAAGCGGCTTACAAACAATGTTATTACAGTGACATAGCAGAACATCACAAATGCAACATGAAGCAGACAACATACTGTAAATCTTATGTACAGAATTAGTCTCCATGTGGATGAGCCTCAGTGCTGGGAGAACTGCTTAGTTTTGTTTCACTTTCAAAGCATCTCTACTTATCACTACATCCCAAGCAGAGATCTTTGTTTAAAAAGAAATTCTTAGTGGTTTCATAATAAATTGGCTTATAACCGTGACTCATGAAGCTGGTTCCTCCGCTGAGAAGATATGTGCTAAAAGTGGGGATAAAAGACAGGGTAGGACCACAATCAGCAACTGGAATACCTGAAGATGCTGTTTTCAACAAGAAAAAAGGAAAGGAGCAGAAGTGAAAACCAGACCTGAAGTCATATCGTCTGATCTGAAAACCCAGGTCCTTAGTTCCAGATGCTGGAGTAGGTGGGCTCATTACTGGGGGTTTTCCTGTATAGAATTTGTTAAAAATACATTTAATTGCCAATGTGTTTAGCACTGCAACATGTAAGCAGATTTGAAGGCTCAGCCCTAGCAAGTTACCGTATTTTTCGCCCTATAGGACGCACTTTTTCCCCTCCAAAAACGAAGGGGAAATCTGTGGGCGTCCTATGGGGCAAATGCAGGCTTTCGCTGAAGCTTGGAGAGCGAGAGGGGTCGGTGCGCACTGACCCCCCTCGCTCTCCAGGCTTCGGGAAGCTATCAGCAAGCCTGGGGAGCCCGCGGAAGTTCCCGCAGGGCTCCCTAGGCTGCGGATAGCAGCCTGCTTCGTGGAGCGCGGGGCGCGCTGAAAGCAGAGCGCCCGGCGCTTCGGGAAAACATCCGCAGCCTGGGGAGCCAGACATCGGGCAGCCCCACAAGCTCAGGGGACAGCAGGGAGGCGCAGCGCCGCCATCCTGCTGTTCCCCGACCTGGTTTTGGGGGGGAAATAAAGGAATTCCCCCCCTTTATTTCCCCCCAAAAAACTAGGTGCGTCCTATGGGCCGGTGCGTCCTATGGGACGAAAAATACGGTAATCCTGACAAAAAATTGGGAGTGTTGCAGAGTCTTTTGGTCTGAGTACTGATCTTGCTGATGGATTAACTCACTGCCATTTGTTTATTTAAAATACTCAAAATCTTTCCACAACTGCTCAAGATAGCTCACAGCATCTATTTAAGACAATTACATTCAGCACAGACAAACCTAAAGCTGAAAGCATTTTTTTAAAAAAAATTAAATCTTTAAAATAACATACAGTCGTACCTTGGATCTCGAACGCCTTGTGACTTGAACGTTTTGGCTCCCAAACGCCGCAACCCCGGAAGTGAGTGTTCCAGTTTGAGAACGTTCTTTGGAAGCCGAACATCCGACCCGGCTTCCGATTGAGTGCAGGAAGCTCCTGCAGCCAATCGGAAGCCATGCTTTGGCCCCCTCCCTTCTAGAACCCACCACTCTCAACCAACTCTCAACTGCCTCCCCCCCCCCCCACATTCAAGCTCTCTTTCAAAGCCGCCTCCAATCGTCACTCTCCACCAGAATTCTGGAATCCAACTGGCTGCCCTGCTGTGGAGGACAAGTCCCTCTTGAAAGGACTCAGCTGTACTCTTTCTGAAAGCTAGAACAGTCTCTGCCATGTCTCAGTTCTCCAAAGGTGAGAGCCTGGAACCCCATGGGCTCTTGCCACCACTCGGCAGAGAGAGGGGAGGCACCCAACTTTTGGAAGAATATTTTATCCACCCTGCTCTGTGAAGTCATCCTGTTAGAAGCACTTGAGCTTCCCGTTCCTGGTTCCTAGGAAATTGGGGGAGTGAGCTGTAGGCTCTCCTCCCTGCTCCAAAAAGGAGGCGTCTTCCCCCAAATGATCATAGGAATTGTAGTTTTAACGATAACGATAACGATATCTTTATTGTCATTGTCCCGTGCGGAACAATGAAATTGAAAAACTACCTAAAACTACATAAAAACTACATGAAACTACCACAAAACTACATATAAAGGTAAAGGTACCCCTGCCCGTACGGGCCAGTCGTGTCCGACTCTAGAGTTGTGCACCCATCTCACTTAAGAGGCCGGGGGCCAGCGCTGTCCGGAGACACTTCCGGGTCACATGGCCAGCGTGACAAAGCTGCTGTGGCGAGCCGGCACCAGCGCAGCACACGGAAACGCCGTTTACCTTCCCACTATAAAGCGGTACCTATTTATCTACTTGCACTTAGGGGTGCTTTCGAACTGCTAGGTGGGCAGGAGCTGGGACCGAAAGACGGGAGCTCACCCCGCCGCGGGGATTCGAACTGCCGACCATGCGATCGGCAAGTCCTAAGCACTGAGGTTTTACCCACAGCGCCACCCGTGTCCCTACAAAACTACATAAGACTACATAAAAACTACATGAAACTACCACAAAACTACATAAGACTACATAAAAACTACATAAAAACTACATAAAAACTACATAAAACATTTTTAAACCCCTAACAACTCTTAAACCCCATTTTAAAATACACTATACTTTAGAGACCCCTTATGCTGCGTTTAGAACCAGAATTGCATTTGCATAGAAACTGTTTCTCCGCCATGAGCAGCGTTTCTTAGGGGTTCTGGGAATTGTAGATCTGTGAGAGGGAAGCTACAATGCCCAGGATCATTTGGGCACAGTCATGTGCTTTAAATGCTCATTGGATGCACTTTAAATCGTAGGATCATAGAGTTGGGCGGAATCCCCTGCAATGCAGGAATCTCAGCTAAAGCATCCATGGCTGATGGCCATCCAACCTCTGCGGAAAAACCACCCAGGAAGGAGAGTCTACCGCCTTCCAAGGGATTTCCTCCCACTGTCAAACAGCTCTTGCTGTCAGAACGTTCTTCCTGAAGTTGAGTCGGAATCTCCTTTCTTGTAGTTTGAAGCCATGGCTTCAGGTCCTGAGGGCCTCTGGAGCAGGAGAAAACAAGCTTCCTCTCTCCTCCCTGTGACGGCCCTTGAGATATTGACAGGGCTGCATGTCGTGGCTTTCATATCCATGTCCTGAGGGACAGAGAGCAAAACGTTTCTCTCTCCCCTTTCTCCACCCCCATGCAGAATTGCAAGGGGTCAGTGCATCTGGCTGGTAAGAAGATGGTTGGAGTTTGGAACCCAGCCAAGGCTGGCTGTGGGCAGGATCCTGGCATTGCCGGGCGTTGGACTAAACAACCCTTGGGTTGCACTCTACCATGCTATGATTCTATCGAGCAGCTAAAGGAACAGGCGGGGGAGCAAGATGCAGAACAAGGGGAGGCACAACCACACACCCCAACAGCACCCTTTGGGCTGACCCACAGTGGCCTCATCCCAGCACACTTTGAACCCCCCCCCTTTGATTTTCTTTCTATTAATTCAGAGACGTGACGACCTTCAGGTACTGGGGCAGAGGGAACGAAGGGATCCTTGTGAAACATGTTTTGGGAGTCCTAGCAACACTCTCCGCACCTGTGGCTTCCAGGAAGTGCTTTTCAGAAGCATTACTCCCTCCACCTCATCCAAGATGCTCTTGTGGGCTATCCGATTCTTCTTGGCTTCCTTATTCCCGCAAGGAGGCAGCTCTTGCGAGATCGGCAGTGTGATCTTGTTCACTCACCTTACAAAGTTTCCCCTGGTTCGCAATTGCATGTGTCCATCATTCCTTGACGATTACAGAAGGCCTGCAACTTTGGCGCATCTAAGTTGCGTGCATTTAGCTTTATGTTCTTGGCCCAAAAATGTAAAGAATCAAAAAGGGAGCAGAAAGCAGGTGGGTGTCCAGGAAAAGAGACATTGTCAATCCCGCCCAGTCCTGAACCCCATGTGTTTTGACGCTATGAGATTCTGGTTTGAGGTGCGATCCCCAGAACCTAACCCCCAC